AATTTATTTTAATCTTTATAAAATTTTATATAAACAAATATACATTACATAAACCATTGAAAAAATAAAAGAGTTTGAAAAATACTTGAATTTATAGAACTTTATAAAATAAACACAGGGAAAGTGAATATTTAGTGCAATGATTTTCTTCAACAAAATTGCTTTATTCCTTTCTCACAAGGCTCTAACGTTTTTTCTTTTGATTAAGAGGAGGGGATAAACTTTTTCCTGATTTGATATATTTTAAAATATCACCATTCTTTCTATTTTAAAATTATTAGAGTTTCCATTATTTTCTAATAGATTTAAATTTGATTTTCATTTCATATAAATATTATAAATAATATATAATATAAATATTAGATGCAAGCATGGCAGATGATGCAGAATTATGGCCTCCACTGAATGCATCAAGGGTGGACACGGCTATATATTGTAGGGTCATTAATTTTCTGATGCCAGTTGCTCGCTTAGTTCAAAGTGTCTTGTCGAAGCTGATGACACCTCTACAAAGGCATCACTGGATAACTTATTTGAATGGATTTAAATAAAATAATGGAGTGATGTGTTACCTGCTGCAGTTTATATATATATTGCTTTCTATTGATTCTATGTCAAGACTATGACATCCAAGATCAAGTGGGAGTCACGTGGAGACCCCATTGTATGTGTTGGCCTATTGGGATTTGGGATTTTCTTTATTATTATTGAATTATGTTAATTAATATTTTAAAAGATTTGGTGGTTGCTGAAACTTCGATGGTCGCCATTTGGCAATAACATCGTGGGATAAGGATCCTCTAGAGCTTTTAAACAGCCGCACTATGAGCAAATAATCTTAGGGTTAGTGTTTTCAATACATTTTTACTCCGATATTTTATTATAAAATTATATTATTTAAGGGACCAGATTCATGCAATTTAATAAAAGAACCATCATGTGATTATTGTGTTTCTATTTATTGTATTTTATATTGGTAGATGTAGTTGTGTGGGGAACAAACTTATTATCACCTCTTGTTCTAGATATCATTTCAAGTTTTATTTTTCATTTCTTGCATAAAAAATTAAAATATTAATTTTGAGATAAAATATAAAACAATTTAAATTGAAAGTTTTCTTAGTTGTAAATTAATATATGCATGCGTTTTAACCTATCCTATGCATAGCAGCATAGAGCAAGGATTGTATCTAAATTATTTACGCTTCATATTTCCTGTTCCTTGATTTTCGTTTTTAGTTAAATTATTGAATGTGATGTGATTGATTTTTCTTTTCCAGAAAAATCCAGCAACATAATATTTTGCAATATTTCACATATACTTAAGTATTAATTAAAATTTATTAAAAATTATAAAAAAACATAAGTTTTACTTTTTTATTTTAAATTAATTTTATTTATAATTTTATATTTTTTATAAAATTTAATCAATAATTAAGAATTTATTAAAATTTATGTTTTTTTATTTGATTTAATTTGGATTTAACCAAATCGCTTGCTAGTTGAACTGACTTTCATTAATTAAAAATTATATTTTTAATATTATTTTTTTAAAATAATTATAAAATTTAATTAAGATATATGGTATAATATATAAAATTAGTTTTATTTACAAATTAGTTAGTGTTGCTTAATCCTTTTATAAAACCTTTTTTGGTTAAGTTAGTATCATCACTCAAGTTTTACAATCAACTTTAAAATAAGCCATTTATTCTCGTTACTTCAAATTGATTAATGTTCAAAGTTTTTGTACAAGAATTAGGAAAAATTATAACTATCTTAGTTAATAAAAAAATTACTAAATTATTTTTTTAATTTATTATTCTTATTCATTTAAAATTATTGTATTTGGAATGAATATTTTACCAAAAAAAATATATGATTAAGCCATAATTTTACAGGTGCATAGCTTATGAAGCATAGACGTCACCATTGTTTTGATTACCCCCAAATAAAATACGCATAATTAACACGCTGTCGTCGAGAAGTTGCTGGACACGAAAATATAAAATATTATCATCTGACGAACCACGAGTCTCATGCTTTTGTGGTCGTTAAATGGCACATTTTCTTGTCATCCCACTCACTGTTATCGCACGTTTATAAGTTTTGACTTGGTTAGGTCTTTCATTTCATTATTGCTTTACCATTATTTTAAACATATTAATTAAATTTTTAATAATATAAAAATAATAATATGTTATTGTTCATATTTTTATATAAATTTTAATAATTATTTTTTACATATTTTTGTAATTTTATTTTAATTTATTATTTTCTTTTTAAAAAAATCAGTATCTGGACGATTCTACGTTAACTACGATACACTTGGCCGATATTTTATCCGTACTATTCTGACAGCTGTAGTGCATTTTTTTTTGTAAACACTAAATAGTATATCATTTGTTTTTTTTAAACCAATATTTAAATCAAGATAAATGAATAACGTTTTTATTATATTGAAATTACTCATACTTTTCGCTATTTTTATTATTTTTCTCTTATTTATGAAAATACATACAGCGTATTTAATTGTTCAGAAGAGTAAGAATATAGTTAAAAAAATGATGATTGATGTAATTTTAAAATTTTAGGTAGACAGTTAAATAAAAATAAAATAAAATAAAATAAAATAAAGACAAAAGAAACAAAAATGTTTTTATTATTTTTCATGCATGCATAATTATAATTTATATTTATGTACAAAATTTAAAGTATTTAGATTATATTAAATAATAATAACACCGTGTGTCATGAAGAAAAAAATTACAAAAAAAATATATTTATAACATAAAAATATAATAACTAATTAATTTTTCTTCTTATTATAATAATTTGAACTTAAATATTAACATGCAAACCTTCAATTCAGTAACATCTTTTTAACATAGCTATTTAAAAATAAAATAAAGTATATAATTAATTAGTTTAAATTTAATAATATAAATGTGAAATTTTACTATACCCTTTTTTTTTAAACTACTAGTCATTATCAAGTAATGTATTGTTAAGTGGCCAATATCCGCATCAGTGACAGATGTGACGGAATCTCCAAGTATTAAAATAATTTAACACTTGCTAAACGATTATAAATTAGGTTAAAAAAAGGTTGATAGAAACGACATGTGGGTATTCTAATTAAAAAAAATAAATTCAAAGATAGAAAATAAAAGTTATAATTAACATAAAAATATAGCAGTTGTTCAAAATAAATAAATAATAATAATAAAATTGACGTCCTATAAAATCTCTTAAATTATACTCTTTTATTTTAAATTAAGTGTCACCTTAGTTAAAAAAATATTTTTTAGTCACGTTTCAAGTTTTTAAAGAAACGCAAATAATTATAACCTAAATAAATAATAATTTTTAGTTCTAAACAAGTTTTTTAATGAAAAATAATAAAGATAAATATTACTTTCTTTAAACTTTGTTAAAAACTTGTAAATGATAGTCATTCTGAAACGGAGGGAGTAATTGATGCATGGTGCTGATCCTGCATAAATGAGCATACAAAGCTTTTACACCTTTTTTTGTTTTTTTGTTTTTCTATTAGAGGGGCTTAAAAGTCCAAGAACAAACAGCTTTTATACTCTATTTAAATAAGGAAAGAAATAAAAAATAATAAAATTTGCATTTGACTATTCTAAAATAAAATAAATATGTTTTAGAGAAAGATGTGCTAATATTTATTACTTATAATTAACTTTAAAAATTTATTATTAGCATTATTATTATTGTATAACTTTTTATTACAATGACAACCATTGTTTTTTTAATCAACGAGTGCTTAAGTATATTTCTTTGCCTTAGACAAGGAAACAATTAACTTTTTTTCCTCGTCTCCTTTTAATTTATATTTATGCAATAAAATAATTTTAAATTTTAAATTTCAATAATTTTGCAAGATAAAATTTGTTCTAAATTAGTGAAATTTAGATTAATCCTCTGAAGTGTTTTTAATGGATTTCTAAATTGAACTGTGTTATTTAAATTCTTAACAATAAAGGGAACAAAAAACACTTTCACTTTTTTTAATGTATAAAAAAATAGTTCAATTGTATTTAAAAAATATTGACAATATCTGTGTAAAATTAAACTGATATTGACAATAATTATTCACTTTTTCGGCATTTTGATATTATGTTATAACTATTTAATAAACATAAGAAACAATAAATAAAATAAAACCCCACCCCTTTTCCTCCAACTTCCTCCTAATCTAGGGTAATTTCTTTAATAAATTATCCACCTTAAAAATTTATGTTTCTCCTCTTTATTCTATGGTCTAAACGCAAAAAAGTTTCACCCGATTCTCTCCATCTCCTCTTTATCGTTCTATTTAAACGAAATCTTTATCTTTGGTCATTGCCTTTGGGCCTTCCAACCGTAAAATAGTATGATAAAATTTAAAACACAACATGAACATCATCTTTAATAAACATCGATTGATTAGCACTAATATAATCACATAATAATAATAACAATAATAATAATAATAATAATAATAAGCTTATTTTGTTAGTATATTTTATCTAATAAAAAATTATGAATTAATATAAATATTATAACGTTTTACATAACATTTCAATGACATTGATTATTTTTATATCAATATATATACATATATATATATATATTAATAAATAATGTTATTAATATTAAAAAATGAATGTATAGTATCAATAGTTTTTAATCATACTTTTTTTTTTTTGCTGCAATTAATCATACTTCTTTTGATTATATACTCATAACAATGATATATAAATATGTTACTTTTATTAAATTGTGATTTTTTTTATACTTAAGTGTATGTTATATAGCTTTTACTTTTGTTTTCTCTTTATATCTCTCTTTCACACTCCCATAAACGATAGGAAAGAAACTGTTATCCATTTTTATTAAATAAAGTAATAATAAAACTATAAAAAAATAAAAATAAAAAATTCGTGCAACTATATATTCATAGAACCGAGGACACTTCTGTTTGGAGTAAAGAAACAAATTGACAGGCCAATAAGAGCTTTTATCATTTGCCTATTCCCCTCTTTCTTCTCTGTTACCCTAATTTCGTGGGGCTTGTTGGCTATGGCGTACAATGGCGATTGCAACAAGGCTTTCGCTGACAGTTACATGCTGTTGAAGCCAGAAGACGCTCATTTTTTTGATCTTCTTCATGTCTTGTATTCCCGAAACTTGGCTCATAGGAAATTTGTGGAGAGTCACGCCGATGGCGCTGTTGAGGAAAGCTTCCGCCATAGATGGCTCATATTTGTCTCCGTCGTACTCCAGAAGATTTTGATGCTTCTGGCTAAGCCTCTTGCTTTATTCGGATCTTGCGTTGAGACGTTGATCAACCTCGTCGCTCTCAATGGTGGCTTATTCATGATCCTAATTAACTTTCTCTCAGGTTAGTTTAATTTCTTCCACCATAAATTTCAAGATCTAAGGGTTTTATCTTACACTTGCTCTTCTTTGCTGCCTACCTTGCTTCTCAACTCTATAAGTCAATACAACAGGATATTCATCTGCTGGTTCTTTTCCGTCAAATATTTTGAGCAAAACCCGAATTTTACTAGCCCTGTTTGTTTCAAAATTATATAATTTATTTTCTTACTTTTTTAAAAATATAAATATTACTTTAAATATATTTTTGTAATCATCTTTAAGGATTTAACATTAATTTTAGCAAGTTTTATAGACCATACCATTGAAGAGTCAGAAAGAAAAAGTAAGAAAAATTCAGATAATAATATTTTTTTACTTAGTTTGGTTGATTAAAGAAAAATTAAAAATTTAGAACTTGTTTCTCTTTTTAAATGTAGCTTTTCTTTTAAAATAAAAAATAATAAAAATTTGTTTATTAACTTAAGTTTTTAAAAACTATTTTTAAAAATAAATTTTTTATTTTTAGTTTTTAAAATAAAAATTAAAAATAGATTTTAAAGTGTTTTAATTTAAAATTTTATATTCTCATCTAAAAATAAGTTTTTAAAAATTAAAATATTAAATAATTTTTATTTTTATTTTATTTTTTAAAAAATTAAAAACCAAAATAGAACAAACAAACCTTTTTATATTTTTCTTCGCACTCTTCTTCCATCCAATCAAATAGAGAGTCATGCGGGAATGTTTATTCAACCACGGTAATAATTTGTTATTTGTCAATTCTACCGAAATGATTACTGCGACTAACCAGTAACCACTCAGCCCATAAGAAATTCGCGTGCATGCATATATTCCCTGAGTTTTGTGGCTTCAACCAATAAAAAAAAAGAAGAAAAGTTAATTTTTAAAAATATTTTTTCATTTTATTATTTTTTTCTTCACATTCTTTCATGCAATCAATAAAGAGTTAGGATCATAGGGCTATTTTTTTATACGGAAATTTTTTTTAATATTAAGATATACAATTTTAAAAAATTATAAAAATTGTTATTAAATTTTTTAAGTAATTGATATTTTTTTATAATTTTTAAAAATCGTGAATGCAAATTTTAATGTTTATATATTTTTATATTTTCAAACTTATGCTTTTGCACAAAAAACTATCAATAACAATTTTTAAATTCATTTTTTTTTATAATTTCACATATCAGTATATGTTTTTAATATACTATATATAGATCATGCGCGATTTTAATGTTTATTCAACAACTGTAATAATTTGTCAATTCTGCCCAAATGATGCTCACTAACCAATGAGCAATGCTTACGCAGTACAACAGATTTTTAATGAATGAACACGAATCAAAATATTTTTATATTTTGTGGGCTTAACAAAAATACTGCCCAAATGATAGCAGTATTTTGTCTGGACATAGAGTAAAACAAGTATAAAATAAATAAAAATGTCATCTAAATAAATAGAAGTGAAAAAACTATTATTTAAATTAGAAAAAACTTATGCTTAGTTTTTATAATAATTAAAAACAATAAATTTAACTAATTTGTTAACATGACATTATTTAATTTTTTTAAAACATGAAAAATGGCAACATCTTCACTCCCATTTCGTGTTTTTTTTGGAGGAAATAAGTTTCTTTTTACTTGTCCCAAAAAGATGTATATATTTTTCTTTATTTTTTCTCTTCAACAAATTATTAAAATTTAATATTTTAATTTTATTTGTTTACATTTAACTATATGCTTTTGCTCCGCACCAAGTGAAAGATGATAATTTTTTTAAATAAGAGAAATACTTATAATATATTTTTTATAATTTTTTATTAATAATTAAAAACTGTGTTAAAGAATATCATGCCCTCACAAGCCTCACTCCTCCTCCAAGTCCAAGTAATACGTATCAGATTCTTGAGATCCCGTCGCACTGTGATCCAATCCCATCCGTGGCCTTCCTGTTAAATTTATTAGTAGTATGGCCTTCGAAATTCGAAACTGAATATTCAAGTACAGGCTTATCAGGTTCCCGCAGCCTTTTAAATTTTTTTTTTAGGAAGAAGGAAAAATATTTTTGTTTTTGAAAAAAATTATTTTATCATTGTATTTTTATTCTAATAAATTATAATACATATATTAATATAATTTATTTATTTGTAGAATTCAAGCATAGTCTCTAATCTTCTTTTTTTATATGTAGTTTTTAGTACTTTATTTTAAAATTGTCATTTTTATGTAGAACTTTCTTTATATTATAATTTTTTTATATTTATTTTGATGAGATGGATTATTATTTTACTCAATTCACTCAAATAAAAAGGAGGAACAGAAGATATTTTTACACTACACTCTAACTCGATTCATTTAAAATACATGGTATATATTATCTACATAGGAGGATGGATTTCTTTATATATACTATTATACATTTCGTTGTGCTTTATGCAATTATTATCACTAAAATTTAATATAATAAATCCAATAATAAAATAATTGACTAAATTTTGAACGGAGCACAAATCTGTCCAACCAAATATTAATGATTGAATCAGGGATAACACCTATAAAATATTAAAGGTGGATTCAATAGGAAAAACAATTGGCATACATGTTTATATTAACAAATTATATAATTATTGGATTTTTAAAACTTAAATGCATTTTTTCTTTGAATTTCCAAAAAAAAAAACTTAAATCGTTAATATATATCTATTTTTTGTTTGTTATTGCAAAGATGTGTCGGTCTTGATTAAGTGCAGACTAAATTAAATAAAACTTTATATAATTACTGTAATTTGTTTTGTAGTAATCAGTATTCCATTCGTTTTTGTATTTGTTATTTAAACTTATTTTTATACGGTTTTAAAAAATATATTAATTATTATATTCATATATAAAATACTATCTATTTTCATTTTTATTTTTATTACTTTTAAAATAATTAATTTTTTTTAGTTGTAAAGAGTAATAATACAATTAAATAAATGAATACATTTTAAATTTTTAAAATAATAAATGTTTTTTTTATTAAAACAATGGCATATAAAAAAAATAAAAAGTATTAAATTCATCTCCATTGCATCAAATTGCTGCATTGTGGGGAGGGAGATAAGAATTTTTTTTAAGAATTCTGTTAATCTCAATCTTAAGAACTAAAGATAAACAGCTAATAATAATAAAATTTTATTAAAAAATAAAATATTTATTATATTTTTATAACTTTAATATAATAACTATGTATTTTTTTATAAATTTTTTTTATTTATAGATGTTTAAAATCAGTATTAAAAACTGAAGTTGACAAAACTTTTTTTTAATCACGTGAATTAGCTAGTGACTTAATAATTGTCACATTGTTTGATCTTTTAAAATCTAATAATCATTGAAAAAAAATACTGATTCATCAAAATATTCAACAACTCATGAACATTCTGAACTTAGCATTGTTATGTGCGGTTAAACGGGCAAATCATAACTACGCTAAGGACCCCAATCAAATATAATTAATAGGCATCTACGTTATCCATTTAAAAAAGAATCCATTTCGCATCAAATTTCAATATAAACGACAGGTCATCTGGTCATCCCGAATCGTACAGCACCAAATTATTTGTCTTGCATTGGAAATTTGGATGCGCGAGTAAAGTTGGATGCTGTCAAGCGTGAAGACAGCAAGTACTATGTTTCGCTGGCTATGATGGCATCAAAAGCATCCTATGAGAATGCAGCTTACCTTAAAGCTCTAATCTCAGGTCACTGGAAGGTAGAAAAATCAACTTATTTCGCTTTTTTAATCTTCGCCTCAATTCAATCATCTTTTTTTCATCCCTGATTAATTTTGTTTTGAAATATGTGTTCTCTTGCAGATGGAATTTGTTGGATTTTATGACTGCTGGAATGGTAAGAGCTAAACAGCAAACGCTATACAAGCTTCTGATTTTTACACGCTTCAATACTCCTTTCATTACCTTTTTTTTTGTTATTTTTATTTTTCTTTATGTTTAGAAACTTGTTATTTTACAAATCGAAGATTATCTTTTTAACTATACTCCTATTTAATATATAAACTATAAATTTAACTACTTTAATTATATCTCTTATTTATCACATTTTTCAGCGATTAAATAATGAAATTATGATAATTAAAAAATAATAAATAAAATAAGTACAGTTTAAGTGAAGATATTTGAGTCAAGCTATAATAAAAATATACATCGTTTAAAAATTTAATCCTTGTGTATAAATGTTATATAACAAAATAAAATAAAAGAAAGCAAAAGTGGTTTTAGTTTTCTTTCTGAAGAGAGTCATTTTCTTGTCATAGGATTATATTATTTATCATTAATAATTTTTCATCTGTATATATAGGTGTTCATTAATAATAATTACAATAATTTTTTAATGTATATCCGTGAGAAGTGATAGGGAGACAAAAATAAACTTCTTTCATTAAAAATATTTATCATATTACAAATACAAAATTTATTATATAATTACTTTGTTAGTAGTTTTAAATTAATGAGATATTTTTAATATTTTCATACTATGTACACGTAAATTTATAAATAGTAAAGTTCAGTTATTTGTTTCTCTAAGTGATGATATTTTGACACCCTTTTATGAAATGTTAATTTGAGTACAAGGAAAGAAGAGATAAAAAAACAGGAAAAATGTAAGGGGAAAAAAAGATAAAAGATATAACGAGTCATTCATGTGATATAAAAAAGAAAAAAGAAAAAGTCTATGAAAATGAAATGTAAGAAAAAACATGTAAAGTTGTTTTATTATTAATTATTCTATGGATGAATAATTAACTGTGTGATTAGTTTATCCTTTTTAACAATGGCATGCACGTGGCAGATTTTCAAGGAAAGGCCACAACCCAAGTCTTGATTGTTTTGGACAAGTACGAGGATCGGGACACTTATGTCGTGGCTTTCCGAGGAACAGAACCATTTGATGCAGACGCATGGTGCACCGATCTTGATATCTCATGGTATGGGATTCCTGGGGTTGGAAAAATGCATGGTGGCTTTATGAAAGCCTTAGGACTACAGAAAAATGTGGGGTGGCCAAAGGAGATTCAAAGAGATGAAAATCTTCCCCCGTTGGCCTACTATGTTATTAGGGACATACTAAGAGAAGGTTTGAGTGAAAATCCCAAAGCAAAGTTTATACTAACGGGTCATAGTTTGGGTGGAGCACTAGCAATTCTCTACCCCACGATCATGTTCTTGCATGATGAGAACTTGTTGATGGAGAGGTTGGAAGGGATCTACACTTTTGGACAACCAAGAGTTGGAGATGAAGCATATGCACAGTACATGAGGCAAAATTTGAAGAAAAATTCTATCAGATATTGCAGGTTTGTTTATTGCAATGATATAGTTCCCAGGTTGCCCTACGATGATAAGGACTTGCTGTTCAAGCACTTCGGGGTCTGCCTTTTCTTTAACAGGCGCTATGAACTCAGGGTACGTTTTCTTAATTTTAAACTAAATTTTGCTTCGTTTTAACGTTGATCATCAAACCATGCCTGTGTTTTTGAATTAGGTGTTGTTCTATAAATACTTTTAATACCATCTTAACAAAAATACAAGCACATGTAACAGATTATCAATGAAATTAATACTACTCATAATATACGATCGAGTAGTGTTTTATTAAAAAATAATATTAAAAATACTTATAAAGCAATACTTCAATTTTGTTTTTCAAATAAATGAGATGCTAACAATTTTATTATCTGAGACACTATTTTTAATTAGGTAAAAGTATATATGAGACTCACTAAATAATGCATGTCTCACTTCTTAATTAGTAAAATTCTTGGAAATTTTACTCAATATAATAATAAAAAAGTTTTTAAAGAATTTTATTAAAGAGTGTATTACTGTATTACTAAATTGCTGTAAACTACGTGTGTTTCTTTTTTAAAAATAATAAGTAATTAAAGAAAGAAAAACCACCACACAGACCAGCTTCTTGAAAGCCTAATCAATGCTTGTGTTCGTAAACATCAAATGGCAGAACTTGAATCAAAATTGTGAGAGATAAAAACTTAAATAATACATATAATTTTGAGTTTTCTGCCAATTTTTGAAAATACAGATTTTTTTTTTTTAACATTCAAGTTTTTGAATGAATTATCCTGTTTTTAAAACTGGGAAACAAAGCAAAAACAATTTTTTTCAACAGGGAGGGGTGGAGACTAAAAAGGTGAGATCAGGATCTTCTCATATTCATTGTCAAACATGACCCTCATGTTAATTGTCAAACATGACCCTCATGTTAGTTATTTTTGTATTTTTGTTTAAGCAAAAAATTGGCTTAAGTAAAAATACAAAAATAACTCGCTTAAGTAAAAATACAAAAATAACTAACATAAGGGTCATGTAAGAGGAGGGGATCCGCTTCCGACAAGGTGGGGTTTTAACTTGAAACGAAAAGCAAGCGGACTGTTCTAAAGTCATTTAATGCCTTTTTAAGATCCGTTGTTATCCATTTTGTCCCACTTTTTTCCTTCCCAACGTGTTTCGAAGCCCACGTGAGCTAATTGACACAGTGAGGAAAATGAAATGTCGACCCAAAAGAAAAAGTAAATTAAATGAATCAAGCCATTGATTAGAATATTAGACCAAAAATAAAAAAAGGCATTGATTAGAAGTAACCAATGGGTGTTTAAACTTTAAATGGTAGTGAAATGAATAAGAGAATAAAAAATATAATAAGAAAAATAAAAATTAAAAAATCGATATAAAAAAAGTGAGATAAAAATATAGTAACTGTGCCACAACTAATGAAAATGAAACAACAGAGCTGTTGGCAGCTGGGACGGGTCACCGAATGAGATCATGCCCTCCTTTCAAATATTTTTTTTTACAAATTTAATATAAATATAAATTTTTATACAATGATATACAAATTTATCAATTTAACTATCAATTCTTAAATACTAAATTTCACTATTAAAGTTTTTACTGTTGATAATAAAGATTTTTTTTAATGTACTCTCTCCTCACTCTCTCTGTATCACGTATTTTTTATTTTTTATTTGTATATAAAGTATATTTCACCTTTTATCTTTTTTTAATCAAATAGTTATATTTAAAGAAATTGTGTTAGTGACATAAATTAAAAAAAAAATTATATTCTCCTACTTGATAAAGTAGATATTAAATAAAAATATTTATTTATAAGTGTTTAAAACATAAAATACATTAAATAATTTCTTTATTTAATAATTAAGAAGATTTTTAAAAATAAATAGTAGGAAATTTTAGAATTATTCAATTAAAAATGACGGCTTTAACTATTTTTTTTTTTACAAATTCTTTTAGGTACTAAATAAGAAAGTATTTAATATATTTTTATTTATTATTTACTTTATAAAATAAGAAGCACGTGGCAAAACTCTTTTTGGTACATTCTGACAATAGATCTCATGTTTGGGTGGTTATGTTTTCTGTACTGTGATAACTTCACTTCTTACATTTTCTTAAGCAACGAAGACCCTTTCTCTACGCACAAGAATAGAGGTTTTTAATTGATAAACATGTGTATACTATTCCGAATAACACGCGGACCCTACATAGGTACTGAACAATAATTAAGTTTGTTTCATTATTTGATTTAAATGCAGGTTCTGGAAGAAGAGCCGAATAAGAACTATTTCTCACCATGGTGTGTGATACCAATGATATTTAATGCTATTTTGGAACTAATAAGGAGCTTTACCATTGCCTACAACAATGGACCTCACTATAGAGAAGGATGGTTTCTCTTTGGTTTCAGAATGGTCGGTTTACTAATTCCTGGGTTACCTGCTCACGGCCCTCAAGATTATATTAATTCCACTCTTCTGGGATCAATTGAAGGGCATTTCAAAGCAGATTAATTGATGTGCTTGTCATGTTACTATTTGAAATTATGTCAGCTTCAAAAAGTAGGTTAAATTTCGTGCATGGACATCACATAATTAATTAGGTCAATGTGTGAAGTTGTTTATTTCACTACTGGAAACGACCAAGTCATTTAGTGTTTTAACTCTTTTGGAATCTCTGATTTTCATGCCCGTCTTTATGTGTCTGTGATCCTGGCATGGGTGAAGTGCATGTTTGAATATATATTGAAATATAATAGAATTACGTTTATTCATAGAGAAATCGTATGTTTATTTGTTATTTTTTTCAAATTATAAACTTACTCCTAAGAAAACAAAAAAATATGAATAATATTATTTTAAATTTATTTTGTACGAAATTAAAACCTTGCTATGCTACATCTTTAAATTTCCTCTTGGAAAGTATCCCTCCCCGAGAAATAAAGGAAAAGAAAATCAGTAATAAACGATTCCGTGTGTGTATTGCCCATCGTAAAGAAGACACCAAAACTTGCTTATCGTGAAATTACATGATCCTACGTGAAAGAAAATATATTCTAAAAATAAAAAATACTGACATTAAACAAATTAACTTCAAAAATTATAATAGATGTATTTTATTTTATTGCATTTTTCAACCTTTAATTTTTAATCAATAGTTATAAATGTAAATTGTTTTTTAAAGTGTTTCCCTCGTTATAGACAGTTAATAATGTCAAATTATTATAAAATTAACTATTGAAAGGGAATATTATTGTTAAATCCGTGACAAAATATCTAACCACGGTTTTATATATATCGTCAGTCCCATTAGAATAATAAATTTAATATAAACTAATAAAAATGGTTAATTCAAAGCATACATGATGCATACTATAATTAGTTTAAAATAGTCATAAATCAACATATCCTAAAATAATTTTTATTTCATCTAATATAAAAAAAAGAACAATGCAGGATTAATTTAGAAAATAATTAATCACATGCTCGAAATTGTTTAGAAGTAATACTACAGGTGATGCTGACAATGATTAAAAAAAAATATTTTTTATTTTAATTCTTCATATGTATCTCTATATACATTATTGAGAAGCTAATATTTCAAACACGTAATTAGTTACTAATTAACCAATAAATGTTTTGTCTACTTAATAATTCAAGATTGAATTTTGGCCACCATTTTATCTTAACAACTCTAGATAATAATTGGATACTATGATGTTAATGAAATTTTGCTGAATTGTATTGCCACATCATAATCTATGTTACTCCAAAATTAACAACAAAGGATACAATTGGTAGTAGTATCAAAGTATTGTAATGCTCTTCTGGCAGTTTCTGGGAATATACATACTTCTGCTTCAAAATCCGTCCACCAATGATGAAATCATTTTGAGAATTTTTAAAAAAATTCTTTTTTTAAACCAGATGAACCATGAATGATTTTTTGATCTAAGAAATAACATATTTCTCCATGCTTGAATATAATCAAAATAATTATATTATTTAGGCTGATAATCTATTGTGAATTTATTTTATTGATAAAGAGATTGTCCCTATTATTGTATTGTCAATACTTTTAAGATTTTGAATTTTGAAAACACAATTTCTTGTGTTTTTTTATCTCTGTGATGTGTTAATTCTATAGATTGTGAATTTATTAGAATTAACTCGTAATATTCTCGCATTTGTTGTGAAGACGACGAAATATAATAACAATTTTTAGGAAAGATTCTTTTAGCTATTTCATTCTTGGGTAATGAAAACCATTATGGCTCTATTGGGAGTATGGGAAGACAACTATCTTTTTCATGATAATATTTTTCAGGTTCCAAGGGGTCTCTTTTAATAGAATTATGGAAAGATAGTACCTGAAACTTATTATTAGTGACCTCAGAAGAGGTGGCTAATTTTTGTGGAGGAGTTGTTTGTAAGGCTTGTAAGGTGATTATAACTTTTTTCCCTTTATCAGGTTTTGAGGGAGTTAGTGGGGGATCTAGTTCTAAAAGGTTGCATTAGGATGGGGAAAACTCCTACAAAGGCTTGTCCATAGATTCTTGGATATAAAAATTCGATGAATATGTTAAACGTTGAAAAAGATAATTAAGAGTTTCTTGCACAAAAAGCTTTTTTAATATCAAAATTATCTGCAGCCAGTACTGAAAAAGACTTCAATGAGATGTTGTCACAATTTATCTCCAAAGCCATCTGAAGCAACCTCCGAACCGGATGAAACAAAAAGCCCTAATCCTCTAGAAACATGAGAAATGAAAATGAAGATGATTGTTATGGAATTTACCTCTCATTTTTACAGCGGTAAAAAGATGTCGACAAATAAAAACAAAAAGAATCACATGCTAGCTAGAAGACAAGACTAAAAGTATTAGCCAGAAAGACAATAATGACCAAAGACAAGACTAAAAGCCCTTACCAGGACAATAATGAAGAAAGACAAAACTAAAAGTATGAGCCAGAAGGACAATAATAAAAAAATAAAAATAAAGAAGCATCTCTCAATAGTAGAAAAATGCTTTATAAAAGGATCTGAAAACATCAAAAGAAAGCATCAACAAATCTACTACTTCTAAACCACTCTAAAACCCTCTTTTATATTAATTTCCTCTCCCTTATTGTATGAAGAATAATATTTTTATTACAATATCTGTATTTGAATAATAAAGTTCAATAATAGTTTCAAACAAATTCCTTATCCGATTTTAATTTGTAAATTTTATATTCACTTTATTTTGTTCTTTTATCATTATTATGTTTTCCAATATTTCCTTTATCACTATTATGTTGTGCTTGATCTATCTATCTATCTATATATATATATATATATATATATATATATATATATAAATAAAAGGTTAGTAAAATATATTTTAACACACTTTTTTTAATTCATGTAATTTTTTTATTTTTGATAAATTTTAATTAATAATAAAAAAATATATTAAAAAATGTATTAGATAGTATCTTACTAATATTTTTATTAAATATTGAAATATGAAATACGTTATCAAGTATTTTATGCATCGTATGTATGAATATGAGCAAAATATAAGCAAATTGAGGTATTATTTTGGTTGGTAAAAATTAAAAAATAAGCTAAATATTAAAATATTTAAAAATTTGAACAGATTAGTAAAACTCTTAAAACTAGTAATAAATTTAAAACTATTAAAATTTACTTATTCAATTAGTAAAATATAATATTTTACTAGTAATTAAAAAATGTATAAACATAAACATTTGAAAAATTTAATTTTGAAGTATTTTAAAAACTAGTTTAATCAATATAATTTAATGTTATTACAAGTATGATATTATAGCAACGGTAAAACTATAGTTTAAATGTCGATAGAAGGAAATTTATAGTACTGATAAAAAATCAAGGGAAATATTTTTTTTAAAAATTTTAATGATTAATCAACGAGAAAAAATATTAACATTATTTGACATAAAAATAAGAAAATTTAGAACAAATATACATATGAAGTTTACTTATTTTTAATGAATGATATTTAATCACATGAGAGTATATTAATGCATGTATATAAATTTTAATAGTACTTTAATTTAAAACTTTCCATTTAGTTACCTTGCTCTAATTTACTTTGTGAAGAGAAAACTTTGGTCTTTTAATATGTGTGCGCACACGTGCTTTTATTGAAGAACTATTAGATGTAAATTTAAATGCTTTTTTTAAGGTGTGAACAAACTATCTATTTTAAAAGTAAACTATCAAATTAAATTCAGTACAATTATTATAAATTAATGTAACTTATAAAATAAATATTTTATAAATAAAATACGATAAATAAAATAAAGTTTTAAAATAATAAAAGCTTACGTTGGTTATTAATTGTGTGTGTCAACAAGTCTAAAAGGATATAAATAAAAGAATCATAAGTTTAAATTATTTAAGAAATTTTGAAGAAACAAATCGTTTAAACTTAAATTCACTATTGTATTACCAATCCTAATATAGAAAACTGACAAAACCATGTGTGATACGAAGTGAACTGGGAGAGAAGAGAGCCCAGGTGGATCTTCTTCTAACCAACATTTATCATGATGAAGCTAAACTTCACAAAACACCAACCACTCTATTTGCTGGATATACACAACATTAAACAAAAAGCACATGCAGAAAGAAAAGCATTACAAAACGACAGAATATCCGTGCATCAAACCATCAAAATATATGAATCCCACTTTGAGCCCTTAATCCACAACTGCTATAGAGCCAAACAATCATTTCCATTACTACATGCACGAAACCTTGTTAAAGGTGAAACACAACAAATGGGCACTATCTCACTACAAGTTATCAACGCATGTGTTACTGTCTCCTCGCCCTCACCCATAAACCATAACAAGGACAATTGGGTCAGCATCACAATCTTTCTTCTTAAGGTTGGACATTAGAATGAGGCTATTGCCCAGTGCTTTCCACAGCAACTCCTTTCCACAGCGTGGGATTGCTCTAACAGCTCAAACTCTATTCCATGGGACCAGGAGGTCAACTACTGCCTGTCACTTCTTTTTTTTAACTTCTATACAGAAACAAAATAAGTCATTTTTTAACCGAGGTTGTTAACACAAAAAATAAAAATAAAATCGATAAATAAAATATATCTAAAATAGAGATCCTTTTACTTTTTTTTTTTTTTTTTACTTTTAGACTAATTAAGATCACAAGTTAGACTGAAACAAATTTTACCTGTTAATTGACAATTTGTGGAAGAGATTTTCTTACTTTTTTTTTGTTACAATAGAAAATAGAAGATAAACATTAGGTACGTAAAATCTTTATTCTTGAACTATCGGTTAAAAGAAGATGAGACAGATCAAGTAAATTTTTTTTACAATCACAGGATGATGCAGTTGGAAAGTTCAACTTTTAGCTCGATGATTTGCACAAAAATTGTTTTGTGTGAGCATATGACTTAGATCAACTTTCCATTCTCGATTCAACAATTCATGGATAAAACATATAATACCATGATAAGTTCAAAATTTTGAGAAACCAACAAATATTAAATTGATAACCTCCAAATTAAACAATCAGAACAACATATTACTCTTTTGTAGTTCTTACTCCATGCAATACTTAATCCATGAAAAATTTTATATAATTCTTTTAGTAAGTTATTTGTGTGACCCAAACTGTCATAGAAACCAACGATCGAAAAGTCTTATATTTCTGATTAAGTCTTCAAATCCAACTAAACCTAAGCTACACATAGAACTTCTATCTACGTTAATAATGACATCGTCTTCTTGTCGAGGAAAACATCTTATCTACTTTTTTTCTCTCTTGGTTTACTAAATTGAGTAAACTTTACAATGTTACACTTCAACTTTACATTTTTTATCTTAGTCAAAATAAAATTCATAGACCCTTCAAATGCTTGAAGTAAATATTTTTATTTTATTTTTTATACACAATAAATTTAATCATCAAAACGTTAAATAAAAAATATCATTTGATAAAATAAGTTTATAAAATATTTTATAATTTTAAAATCAATTCATACTTTATTAGTCAACTTCATTTGAATCTTTTATTTGACTGCAAGAAGAAATAAAAATAATTTAAGATATTCCAATGAAACTTCCTGTTCACTTATTTTTGCCTTCTCATCTATTTCAATGATTCATCTTTTTCCTTTGTTTAATTTTTCTTGCTTATTTACATGTTTTTTTAACGTATATTACGTGTGTAATTATTCACATAAAATTTTTGTTTTAATGATAATTTTATATATGTAACCACACTACACATACAAATACATGCTAACAATAATTGATATATAATTTTCAAGAAATCCTTAACCCGTGTCTACCCCGAGAAATTAACGTAATAAAGGTAAATAATTGTTTTTATTTATTACAAGGTTGGAGCAGTCCACAGCAGCGTTAAATAAGGGGTTAGGTTAATGAGGCGGTTCAATGCTGAACCGGGTCCATGGGTCCGGTCAAGCCCAATTGAAAATGCTAAGTGGACATGTTAATGATGGCCCGGTAAATGGGAAAGAGAGTAGGAGGCTGAGGAACGGCACGAGCGAGAGGGGAAGAGAGATAGGGAGAGCGAGCGAGATCTTCGATTTAGGGTTTTCAATTTCATTTTCCCAAGGTCAGTGAGCGCATAATTCAGCGAATTTCTTTCAATTTGTTTAATCAATTTTTGATTTCTGTTACAGTACAACTCCAACCCCAAAAGCTGATTTTGATTTGGTATATGATGATGATGATGACGATATTTGTGTGTGAGAAAGAAGTGTGCTTGTTATGTGCAGGCGTAGAGTGTGAGATTTTTAGAGAGAGAGGTGTGAGAACGCTGAGTGCTCTGCTGAGAGGTTCCATTACCCCAAGAGGAGGAGGTGGATAGAGTTTTCCTTTTCCTTTTTCCTTTTTTTTTTCCTCAGAGTGGTGGATAGGGATTTTTCCCTCTGCGGCGTTCTGTTCTCTTTCATTGCGCTTTCTGATGGAGCAGCGAAAGCTTGTGGTTAGTCATGCACGTTCAATTGGTTTACCTTTATTCCTTTACTATTACGTTTATTTGTGAATTGCATTAATCAAATATCGTTTGATTTTATTTTTAGTTGACGAGATACACTTGTGTGCTTTTTTTGGGGGGGGGGTATTGATTTGTGTTCATAAAATTGCATATTAGGTTTTGGGTATTCCATGGGATGTCGATACCGAGGGATTGAGGGAATATATGAGCAAGTTTGGTGAACTGGAAGATTGTATTGTCATGAAGGTAAGCTGTTGCTTTCCATTTTTCTGTTAATTGTTGGTATTTTTCATGTTCTATTTATGTTTGTCTACCTTATCAGTATCAAATGTGATTACAGAAAAGAGAGATAGAGTATGAGCAAATGTTGTGTGTGCTTGGGTATTATTTATAATCCTTGTTAGATACAAAAGCATCAATGCAATCCGAAATAAATACAGTAACTGAATCCCTTAAATAGAGTGCGTGCTATTCACAATTATTCAGGTGGTAAATAGACGGTACGTAACGGTAATAATCATTATTTGTATGCATTATGGATGTTTCCTTCGTCTGCATATAATTTTTCTCTTTTGTATTACCCAGTTAATATGACTTAATCCCTTCCACACTCGTATTTGCATTGAATAAAATGAAAACTAGTTGCCACTTGTAAATGTTCAAGAAGAGAGACTATTAGGAAGAGGGGGAGATTTCCATATGATCTAGAAGATTTGTCCAACTGCCATGTACCGAAGCTCAAAGCTTGCATAACATTAATCCTTTTGGAATAAACATCCATTTTGGTGCCATGAACACATAATAGGAGTGAAGAAATATCAAACTGGTTCTGCTTTATGACTTCTGATGATAAATTTGAAATATAATTGTCTTGTACAGGGTTAACTTAGCTAGCCTCTATACTATTAACTTAGCTTGCCTCTATACTATTAAGTTTTCTGGAGGCACATTTTAATCCGTTTTGTTTATTTTTTAGGAGCGGTCAACTGGACGGTCTCGTGGTTTTGGATATGTTACTTTTGCTTCAGTGGATGATGCTAAGGTAATTATTTTTCTGACAGAGAAAGAGTTTATATTTAAGTAAAACCAATCTTGATCGTCCATATAGTTGTGCGGTAAAGATTAACTCCTCTCATCTCTCAAGACCCTACTTAATACACCCCTATATCATGTCTACATGCTATATCATGAGTTGGATGGCTTTGTGGCTGCAGGAAGTATTATCAAGCGAACATATTCTTGGTAATAGGACACTGGAAGTCAAAGTGGCTACACCAAAGGTTATAACCGAATTGTTGTTAAAACTTCTGGTTCATGGCTGGTTTGGTTACACAAAACATAGTAACCATGTGCTATGATTGTACTACTGATTCTTGTAATGCTTTCATATTAAAGGAGGAAATGAGGGCACCAGTCAAAAAAGTTACTAGAATATTTGTAGCCAGGATTCCACAGTCAGTAACAGAAGCTACTTTTAGAAGGTATATGAGTGTGGAGTATCTTAATTAAAATCATCCTAGACTGGGGGTTTTTTTCTTTTTTGTTAGGCTTTATTTGTGAGTTTAATTTAGGAGAGAAGGGAAGGGAAGGGAAGGGGAGGGGAGGGGAGGAAAGGGTTTTTTAATGAAAAATTTGCCCTTGTTTGGAGATACTGAAAAAGGAGGGGAAGGAGTAAGGGAATTTTGGAATTCCTCCAAAATCTCTCTCATGTAATTTTAAAGTTCCCCCAATTTGGTTTTATTTCTCTTAGAAAAATTAATATCCTAATCCAAACAAGGGAGCCCATCCCTTATCCCTCAAATCCTTTCTTTCCCTTTTTCCCAGAAGCCTTAGTAATGTTCTCTTATAATGTGTGTGTGAATTATGATGAGGAAGTTTATGTGATAGTCTTGGGACCTTTCTAATTTTTCTTTTCTTTTTCTTGCAGTCATTTTGAGAAATATGGTGATATAACCGATTTGTACATGCCAAAGGTACTTTCCTGCCTGTGATTGTCTTTCATGCATACAGAATTTAATTGTAGTTTGTTTGTATTTTTTTCATCTTTGTATGTATGCACACTGTTGAGTTCACATATGTAGTTACACAATTGAACTGCAGACTTGTGCATGATGTTCACCGTTCTTAATTATGGAAAATTTATCATTTTGCCAACAGGATCAAGGCTCCAAAATGCATCGTGGAATTGGTTTCATCACCTTTGCAAGTGCAGGTTGGGCCTGTGTGATTTAACCTTATGTTTTAGCATATTTTCATATTTCAAGTGTATGGGATTTATCAAGTTAATTTTCCTTAAGTTTATCTACTTTGTAGTCATCTGGGATCTTTGTTGTCATTTAGAGAAGTGAAATATTTACTGTACCTGCTATTTGCACTATTTTGCTTTTTTTTTTTTTAATTCTTAGACTTTTGGAATATTGTGTAAAGGATGTCTCAATCACTGTATGTAAGATGTTTCGTCTTGCAGATTCTGTGGAGAGTTTGATGTCAGAAACTCATGAACTCGGAGGTTCTGCTGTGGTCGTTGATCGAGCAACACCTAAGGCATGAGTTTTTATACCTTGTCATGTTACTGAAGAATAGTTTCTGGAAATTGCAGAGTAGTGTACCTTGTGTAACCAATTCTTTTTTAAATCAAATTAATTAAATCATTCTAGTGGATTTCAATTCCCATACAGGTCCACTGTTTAATGACTAAAGGATATTTGATTATTTGTTTTTTCTTATCTATTTAGTTAAACAAGATCATGTTCCTTTTTTTTTTTTTCAGGATGATGATTTTAAGCCCATTGGCAGAATGCCACAGGGAGGATATGGTGCATACAATGCTTATATATCTGCAGCAACTAGATATGCAGCACTTGGTGCTCCTACTTTGTATGACCATCCTGGCCCAATTTATGGAAGTAAGTATGCAATCACCCACATTCTGTTAAAATGACTAATATTGCTTCATCCTAACCATAGTTATCTATAGCGGGCTATATTGACACTAGCAGAGCTGAGTGGTCTCAGTTCACTACATAATTTGAATAGAAGAGCATTTTCAAATTGCTGCTATAGTTGCTGCATTTAGGGATGAAAATAGGCTAGACCTCTGGTAAGGGCTTACAACGTAATTTTTTTAAAGTCTAGCTTAATTTAACATATTTAACTAATTTGCTTAATGTAAGCTTTTTTAAAGGCTTAATTAATTGAATAGGTCAAATTTTAGTTTAAGAAAAAATTTATTAAGCCTGATAAAATAGCATATTTAAAACTCATAAAATTTATAACTATATTTAATATAAATAAATTAAATTTTAAAATGAATAAAATCTTGTATTAGAAATCTTAATTCTTTTTGTTGGACTTACTACGTACCCTTGAGAGAGAGAGTTTGTTGAGTCTTTTGTACTACTGTTGATTGATTTGTCTTGTACGCATAACATTGGTGCCTGGTATATATTTGTGTTTGTTGTATGTGTAGTGATTTATTTATTTAAATTAAATGTAGTTTGAAAGTGGTAAGTAAGAATATACAATTTTATTATAAATATTTAAGGTGTTGAACTATTTTTATGGCTTATTTAAATATAAATCTTATGAATTTTAAAAACATGTCTATTTTATATGGTTTGATAGCTTATTAAGGATTTTAATACGAAGTAAGTAATTGAAAAAATTAATAGGCCAAATTAGATTTTTAAAAAAGTCAGACTAGACTTAATAAAAAGCTTATGACAGATAATAGTTAGATTTAGATTTCAAAATTATTAAATAGGTAAGGTCTACTTATGCAAAGCTTAGCTTAACTTAGATCGATCTTACCTACAATAGCAGTACTATAGCAGTGCTAGAGTGTTTTTAGAATTTAAAAAATATTGTTTTGTAGGATTGCTTTAGGGGCAACATTGATATGTCTCTTTCCTTTTTTACAACAACAAAAATCAAGCGTTATCCCACTTCTCTTTCCCTTTTTAGATTTGAAAAATTTTCAAATTGGACGTTCTCTAGTTCTTATCTACCACCCACACTCCAACCAATTATAATGTTTTATTTGTTTTTATTTTACCTTTATTGTTATTTACATGTATGTTTTGCTTAAGACATATGACTTTTTTATTTTTAATTATGAATATGGCATGAATTTTGAGCGTTTATATATATGGTGTAAACTGTAAAGTGTTTAATTTGTGTATATATTTCTGAGTAGCAGCTATCTTGCTATAGAATTTTTGGCTTTGGCTGCCATGTGCTGTTATCTGAGATTGATAACTATGATACTAACTACCATATTTTGTGAATTAGGGGGAGAGCCTTCTCGGAGAACCAGTAAAAAAATTTTTGTTGGCCGTCTTCCCCCAGAGGCGACTGCTGAGGATCTTCGTCAATATTTTGGAAGATTTGGCCGTATATTAGATGTTTATGTTCCAAGGGTAAGATATTAAAAGAATACATGTACTGAGTGTTGAAAGCTGACTAACTTGGTGTTTTTTCTGGGTAGGATCCTAAGAGAACAGGTCATAGAGGTTTTGGATTTGTTACTTTTGCTGAAGATGGTGTGGCAGATCGTGTGTCTCGAAGGTCTCATGAGATTTGTGGACATCAGGTACTTTAATTTGTGTTTGCTGCATTTTCCTACTTTCATCTGTTATAGGTTTCTGTTTGCCCATTTTCCTGTAATTGAAATTTAGATGTGTTGATGTGGTGGTGGAAGGTGACCTATGTAGGTGGAGATTAATTTCCCCTTCTTTAAAATGCCAATTCCTGGTCGAAGCATATTATGCATATAGCCTCACTAGATTTTAGCAGCTTAACTAGTTGGTACCTTCAAATTGGAAGAGAATAGGTTATTAAAAGTGAGGACTTGTGATTCTGTTGCTACTTACAGAGATCTGTATGTGATACTACACCACTGTTTACAGTTTACATTACATGAGATCTGTGTAGTTGACCCGTAGAATTCATATAAGGTGACTTCTTTATGACATCATCATGCTGTGAATGTCAAGGTGAATTCAATGGTGATTCTGTTTGTTATACTAATTCACATGTTTCGGAAGAATAAATGTTCATTAGTGTTTGTGATTCCTTGTGCTATCATCAGCTTTGGACTTTGGTACAGGTATAAATATTACTATATATTTGTGGTTTAAATATGATTTGATTTACTAGCAGCTTGCTCTTGCAGGTGGCAATAGATTCGGCTACACCTGTTGATGATGCAGGGCCCAGTGGACCTTATATGATGAATAGTATTGATTCCTTTGGGGGATATGGCGGTCCTGTGCGAACTTATGGGAGGATGTATGGTAGCTTGGACTTCGATGATGTGAGTACATTCGAACTAATGATTTTATGACAAATATATAAGGGAAATGGAAAATTGTATAAATTGTCAAGAATTTGACCATCTACCGAACAGGTGCCAGTATCTGTGTAGGAAATATTCTAGTTTTTTATCGGTGCAAATAACATTGTTAATGGGTGGTTGTGCTAGTACTCCTTGCACGTAAACGTGCACTGAAACATCAAAGTAAGAGTCTATGCAATAAATTTTATCATAAAATTTATTGGAATAAGCTGAAAAAAGTTTATTGAAATAATCTACAAAGAGTTCATGAGATTCATAAGTTTTTTTCATAAGATATCTATATGTTCTTTTAAACCTCAATCTAGTTATTTTCAGCTTTTGACTATACATTATTATCTTTTGCAGTGGGGTTATGGAATTGGAAGACCATCAAGAACAGATTGGAGGTATAGACCCTACTAGTTACAGAGTTTTATTGGTGCCAACACTGTGGTGCTGTTCTTTAACTAGGATTTTTATTGTTGTAAGAACTATGGATTGGATTTTACTTTATCGTAAACCGGAGACATTTTTTTTTCTTTTAAGATGTTATTTTGTGTCGCTTGTAGTGTCAGTTATGCTGGAAATGATTTATTCTATAACGAAGATTATATATTTCTAGGCTTCTAGCCATATGAATTGTTCGTCGTGTATTGTCAGACTAGAAGTGTTTATGCATTCATGTATGATCCAGAACTAGTGGTGATTTCCCCGACATGTATATTTGCGATCGAACCTGACTATGCCTTTCAGTCATCTTTCGTGGTCAAGCCTGTTTAATTTCCGTAACGATAATGTTCCAACTAATCTTTTATTACATCTTGAAAACTGCTCGTCAGAAAGGACTATATCTGTATTTATCTTACAGAGAGAAATTATACTAATAAAAAATTATTTTTTTGGAACTATACATTATTTTCCTCTATTTATTTATTTATTCGTATAGAAGAAATTATACAAATTAAGGAATTTAATATCATTTTATTGGAATTGTTATTTTTTGTTTTTATTTATTTATTCAGGGAGAAAATTTTTACGAATATTATGCAGTTATTTTGTCATAATTATTTGTTAATTTTTGTTATTTTATCTTTTATCAGTGGGTTATTTCTTGACTTTTGAGCTATTTAATTAGTATACATATTTATTTATGGAACTTAGGATTTTCATATGTATAAAATGATATTAATACAAAATAACAATTAATATTATCTTAGACTTTTATCTGGACAAATATATTAAATATTTTATTGTTGGGACTATATTTTATTTTTGTGTTTTTGATATTTTTTAATTAAAATTAAAATGTTACCTTAATAATTTATAATATCATTAAAAATATTCTCTTTTTACTGAGATGAAACAAATTTCGAATTGGTACTAGTAACAAATTTGGGGACATAATGAGAAGGCTCTACTATTGGTCTTGTGCATAATGGCAAACATATCAAATGCATTAAGACACTAGTAATTCACTATTGACACAGTAGGAAATGGAGAAGGGCAAACAAAACAAAAATGGCCTATGATTTGAAATGTGATTACTCCATCGTTTATGGGGACAAAATGATTTGAGGGATTAATCATGTCATGGAGCATGGCAGCCGAAGCAGCTGCTTGGAGGCCTTATCTGGGCATATTTGTGGAATGAAAATACTTTCCAAGTCTTGGGAACCTGCTGACCCTTTTGCACTGTTATTTGGCCTCTCATCTTTTCAGCTTTCATCTGCGCCCTTCTCAACTTGTTTAGTATCTTATCCATTGATGATGATTTCTTCTTTTCCAAATTCATCTGTCAAATAAGTCCATGATTAGGATAGACAAGTGAAAATGCCTTTACTTATGGTTATTGTATACCTTATGCGTAAATATTTTATGTCAATTTATTTAACACAAATTTAACATTGTACACATAAAAATTTATATACAGTCAATTTTTATTAAAAATTATATAATTCAATGTATTGATATTATTAAATGATATAATTTTTAATAAAATGTATTATTAATTTCTTCCAATATGCTTAGGAAAAAAAAATCATGTAGCATGTATGACAGCAATTTTACGAGAAATTAAGTATGGTATCTTCGCTAATGAACGTATTATTTTGCTTATGAATTCGAGTTGAACCTGACACACATTGTATGAGAAAATTCAATGTACATACTGTGATAAAGAAAACAACCTCTAGTTTTCGTATTGCAGCTTCAGCCTTTGCTTTCTGCAAAGTCTCCCATGCATTGATTTTTGCTTCCTCTCTCTGAAACCTGCGCCAAAATTATAACCATGACATTTTTATGTATCTCTTTTGCTCACTGAGTGAAAATTGAAAAATATTCAAATATCTAGATAATAATGATCTTGGGCAGTGAAAGGCATGACAATAGATTTTGTGATTCATTTGCATTATTGCATCAGCAAAATTCTTTTTAACTTGGGGTATCCCCTAACCTAAGGAAGCAAAAATAATTGTAGCTTAATTGGACCAAAAAAGAAAAAAAAATGGGATATACTATCTACAAAACATACTTGGAAATGTCCAATGTTGACTCAGCAATATCCGTAGTGCTTTTCTTGAAGTCTTTACCAGGTAGAAAGCTGAGCTTGGGGGCATAGTTTTTGGACCATCTAATAACAGTAGCCTGACAGTCTACCTGCACATCTCTGATCTCTAACTTAGTGGAAAGGCCATTTTGTTGATCTTTTCCCAAACTGGGTGAAGATTTTAGTGATGAGGGTGCATCATTCTCAGTCTCCTGAGGACTAATTTGGGTGCCTTTATCACGTTTTGAGAAAGGAGATACAACAGAGTCCTCGTTCTTAGTTCCATCTTGTTTCTCATCTGCAAACCAAAATAACTGAAACATTGTAAAATGTAAATATTTAGATGCTCACATGTCAACATATAGTTAGGTATATTATCTGGATGAGAGCTGTTGAGAATGTTCTAGCATGTAAAATATTTCATGAATCTATTGTATAATTTTTCTGATATAATAGAAATGGCTATATGACTACATGGTCACATTCAACAAGCCTAAGAATCATTTATTCATCGTGGTGACTGCACAAAAAAAGCTCAAGACTTAATTATATTGCCAAATTGAACCAAGGGATTCTTGGTTGTATGAACAACCAATATATGTACTTGACACTCATCTTTCATTTATGAATGACTTTTTATCTGGTGGGGCGTAAATATTGGTGTTCAGAATATATAGCAAACTGAGAGTTAAATATCCCTTGAAACTAGTCACATACACTTGAAAGTCAATGAGTTTCCACTAACGTTTATCCATTTGAAGAAGAATTCCATACCTTGAGAATAAGGTGAAGACGGTTCGCACTGCAATTCTGACCACATGGGTGCACTAGACACTGATGGGAGAGCTACACTATTTTCATTGAGCAAAGGACTAAAACATTGTACATTATTGTCAATGTCAAAGCGGGGACCAAAAACAGTGTCATGTGCATAATAATGGTGAACAGAAAGGGCATCTGGTGCCAACACTCCGGTTGAAAAAGGGGAACCCATCATTAAGTTCTTCACTACCAAACCTTGGCTCAATGGAATTGTAGGTGAATAATTGGAGTAGTATGCTGTTCCAGGAGGCACAATTGGACCACTTTTTGATTTGGGTCGCTGCTGAAGTTGTGCATTAGAACTTTTGTTATTAGCATAGCCTGAAACTGGGCTACAAATCCACCTCTCAGCATCATCCCATTTTGAGGGTATTGTTCTTCCACTGTTGAAGGGTGTGAAGTTAGTCACACTCGCATGCTTTATGCTGCTGCTGCTACTTGCTGGCTGCAACACCCTCTCTGAGCTCCACCCCTTATTGCTCCCAAGGCTTTTTTCTCTATAGTGTGGTGCCCCTGGGCTTAGAAATGAACCCAGCTTTTGGGAGGATTCAGAGCTCTCCTTCATCACACTTGATCAGTTTTGGAACCAAGCCAAGCCTCTTGAGGAAGCACTGTTGTACTTCAAATATGGAAAATCCTGTTTCTACTTTTACATGAGTTGATATTTGTGGATACATAAATTTGATCAGATTCGGAGTACCCAAAGAGAACTTATGGTAGATTTTGGCCACTCATTACTCAATCACTCGTTATGGTTCAGTCCTGGTCACACAACTAAGCAACTAGGCCTTGGAGGGGATGTGATTTAATATATATACACATAAAGCAAATGTTGAAATTAGACACTTTAAAAGTAAGGCTATAAGTCTATTATTAATTTTGTAGCTAAGCATTACACTTTATAATCAATCTTTGTCAAGTGGCAATGATGGATAGCGGTTTTAAGTGACATTTTCTGCTACAATTATGTTACAAGGATATGTACAACACGTGTGGACAAACACAACTATAGGGTGAGGTATAACACGTAAGCCCAATGCCAATGAATGAAGCCATTTTCTTGAAATAAGAACCATTGAATTGCGGTGGAATAATGAGTGAGAGGGATGTGGTATTCCAAGGAGAATAGGACGAGGACATGAGCTGTGAGACATTGTGCAGAGTTGCACAAGCAAAACACTTCCTTGCCTTTGTCATGTGGTATCCGTAAAAATGTTTAACTCCTAACAGTCAGTCACATGCTGTGTGGGCCGGAAGCTAAGACATTGTGGTAAATCTAAATTCGTAATAAATTTTAAAAAAATATTCTTTTAAGGGGGGGTAAAATAGAATATTTTTTGTTTATGATAAGTATTAATTGATAATTGATATGCACACTTTTTCAACGACACAGTGGCACCTGACAGCTGTATATGGATAATGTTTTATTACTAAAATAACATGACACTGTTTACATTGAAACAAATAACTACCATGTATATATAACTGTATGATCACGTTTTTCCGTGCTATTTACATAAATAGTTATCATGATTAAAGAAGCGTCATATCTTATCAGTTATTAGAAATATCATTCTTTTGGCCTTCCCCTTACACAACTTTATAATCAAATTTTCTTTTTGACTTTATCATTGCAAAAGCCTCATAAATTATGGTCTGGAGTAAGGTAGCATAATACCTCGTGTAAAATTTGAAGAGGCCCAAAGTTATTGGCCAATTATTTATGGGTTTCCAGGTTTTATTATTGGCGCTTGATTATAATATTTCTTAGTATCAAGGACGGGGATCAAGTTGTTGATAGTGATCTGCCCAATTGATACAAAATTGCTTACCGTGAAAGATATCTTTGGTGTAGAAAAAACAAAAATAGCCTTTGTTGTTACCTTGTTATCCTGATAAGGGACAGTAAATTGCAAGCTCTTGACAAGAAAATGTAAGCAAGCATGAGCAAATCACAATTTGGGATTGCAGGCCTTGATTGTGCTTTGCAAGGAACAGAATGAGGATTCTGGGCGTATGAAACTTCTTCAGCAACACTAATTACTGTTGGGAAGCTGACAATTGAATGAGGACTACAGTTTGTGGGGTTGTGAGTTGTGACAGATCCTGAATGAAACTTATCCACTGTGCAATTCACCCTATCTGTCACAGAAACTTAACTCTTCTGAAGTGAAATGAGTGAAACCGCATATAAAAGTACTCTTGACATGGTCCTGCATTTCTTCTTACTACACTTGGCAACCATTATTATCTAATCTACATAAATTAAATGAGAAAGTTTTGGGTAATTTCTACATTTGATTTATTTCGAATTCTGGTGTGCAGGTATTGGGCACAAGTAACTTGTCTGGTTCATGATGGGTTCGATTAAATAGAAGATAATAATAACCAGGTGAATCAAAGTTGATCTAATTTAAACTGTGATATGAAGTTTATATTTTAATAAATGCATTTGTGTTGCAGACTATCGCGTATGTTTGTTTTAGTAGTTAATATATTAAAAACGCATGATTGTATTTAGTTTTAATCATTAATTTTTTATATATGATAGGGTAAGTATTTTTTTTAGCATTGATTTTAAATATGTAATTTTTAAAAAATAATTTTCATTGAGAAATTTTTTTTATTTTTAATTTAATTATATTTTTTATCCTTTCCATTTAAATTATGCGCAATTTTGATCTTTGAAATTTTTTTCACGACAATCAAGTTTTTCTTTTAAAAGTTTACAAATTAGTTTTTTTCAATTTTTAACTAAAACTCTTAAATTTTTCTTAATTAAAATTTGTATAGATTAAATTATCTTTAACTCAAAACTAGCCAATTAATTAAATTCATTCCGACTTAAAAGAAAAAAAATCTTTTTTCCGTAAATCCTAATTTCACATCTTATCAAATTTTATCAAAATTCGCTAAATTTCTTACTTTGAAACTTTTAAAATAATTTAGTTTCAATTTCATCGTAAGCCAAACAAATTTTTGATAAAAAAAATTGATGGTTTAAATATAAAAAAAGTTAACAAGGTACTGAACTTGTATAATTTTAAAAATAAACAGACTTACAAAAAGTAAAACTATACATAATCTAAAATAGAAGGACAAAGAAAAGCAATTAATTTTTTTAATACTTTTTTACTTTGTAAAAAAAATATACATCTTTCTTTTAAATTTTAAAGAGAACAAATTTGTTATATCTTCCTATATTTTTTAATATGATTTTGTTATTTTATAAAATAAGTATTATATATATTATCTTAAAAATATACAAACATTCAATATTTAAAAATAATTTATAATTATGGAAATGAAAGAGATTTTAATTAAATAACGAGTAGCTGCACTTGAGGCCTCCCGGAACACGCTCTGAGGCCCACATGCTTCATATCCAAATGCGAGGAGTCCAAGGATTGGGAACCCATGCCAGGACCTCCAAAGCCCGTCACAGATTTTGGAAATAAAACAATAACTTTATTTCTTTATGTTTTATTTTTATAAATATACTTAATTACTACATAAAAATATTAAATATACTTTATACTTTATATAATAAACCTCAAAATTAAAACTTTACAAAATTCAATTTTTTATGTTCAATAAAAAAATTATCTTTTTAAGTGTTTAAAATCAATTCTTAACATTTTTTCATATTTATATATAATTTCTTTCTCTTTTAAAAACGTTTTTAACACAATTTTAATATAAAATAATCCTTATCACATATGTATTATAAAAAAACGTAAGAGCTACGTTATTTAATAATTTTTTGCCTAAAAAAAATAATATATATAAAAATAACATCAAGATTCTAAGCTTTGATTTTATTTAATTTTAGTTTTCTTCACTCAAATTGTTTTCCTCTACAAAAAATTTTAGTCAAAGCAACATCTCGAATTTTTACAATTTAAAAATTATTCATCGAAAGAAACACAATTTAAAAATTAATTAATAAAATAGATAATTTTAATATTGTTTTTAAAATGTGGAACAAAAAGAATAAAGATCAACACACTATAATGTGACTTTTGACTCATTGAAAGAGTGCTACAAAATAGAAAGCACTATATGTAATGTGTTCCTTTTTTAATATAAATTATACATTAGAATGTAAATGTCTTCAGTGATTTTTTTATTTTATTACACACACACATATATATATATATATATAAATTCACACATGATATTTAAATTTGAATTTTAAATTTTTTTTATTTTGACTAAATTTTAAATTCAAATCTTAGCTTTTTTTTTTAGTTTCAATTCAAATTTTAATGTTCCTTTTATATTGTTCAAATTTGAATTTTAAAATTTAAAATTTATAAAAAAATTATGACTAAAATTTGAATTAAAAATTTTTAATCTGTGGTCAAAATAAAAAGAAAATTAAATTCAAGTGAAAAAAATTTAAAATTTAAAATTTAAATTCACATTCGAATTAATGTAAAATGAAAACTAAATGTTTAAGATTTAGATTTCAATCTAAATGAAAAAAATAAGATGTTAATTTTAATATTAAAAAGTAACACCAAAAACATATTATGCACCAAATTTTAATGTGTTTAATAAAATAAAGAGTAATAATACACTATAATGTAACGCGTGTAAAGATTAACACATGACACTGATTATTTTTATTCAATATTTTTTAAACACTATTAAATTTACTTAATTTAATATTTTAAAATTACATTGTTATGATTTTTAACAAATAATAATATGTTTTTCGTTGAATGTGCAATCAACATTTCCTTTGTTATAGAAACAAGTTATATCTCGTATAAGTATAAAATTTAAATATTTATATTTTTAATAATTTTTTATAGAATATAGTATTAAAAAATTTAATCTTTTAATTATTTTACATTATTTTTATAATTATATATATATATATAATTTTATTATTTAAATATTTATAAATATATTATTTAAAATTTGATATTTATTTATATAATTTTAAGATATAATAATTATGTACCTTAGAGAATTATTTACGCATTGAATATAAAAAAAAAATCAGTTTAGTTTTTCTGCCAAAGAAAAAAAATGTTCAAATGAGTCCCGTGAGTTTTGCCTCTTATTTATAAAGTTGGCGTAAAAAACTAATGCATTTAGCACGGAGACAAAACATTAACAATTTCTTAACACGTCTCCTTAAAAGCATTTATATTATTAATTTCACTGTAGTTGCATTTATTGAATACATTTTTGGCAATGGAGGTGGGTATAGACGTTAGATTTATCATTAAAAAAATGTGAATATTTTAATCATGCGGTGGGAACCAATCCATGAGATTAATGTTACGTGGGTGAGCTTATAGGATAGAGCCACCTATACCACATTTGGTTCCAAAATCGAGAATCTTTGTCATATGAATCTGGCCAATGGCCACTGAGTTCACTCACAAAGTGCCACATGGCTTCATCTTCTCCATCATTGGTGATCTACATGTCAAACATTTTCTCCTCTTGTCTCCAACACCAAGCAGCTGCAACACCACACCACTTTTGCTTTGCTTTGTTTATTCCTTGTTAGTGCTTCCTTCCTCCTTTTTTATATTCATGCATTGCCTTCTCTCGTTGACTCTTATTGTTTATGCATTGTTTTCTTCCACACCAATTGGCTTCAACAATGGCTTCTACCTTGTCTTGCAACTCTTTCAACCCCTCAATGGCAGTTTTCTCGAGAACCCTTTTCTCAATTCCTATGTATAAAGAGCTTTCACTGCATGTTTCACCTTGCGTTAGCTATGGAAGCAGAAAAACGAGGCAAAGGAAGGAACTGGTGCCGGTCAAAGCAACTGTGGCTGAGGCACCTCCAAGTGCTTCAAAGTCAACACAAACTGTGGCTAAGAATGGTGAGGATGAAGATCAAGCCCCTCAGAAGAAGAAGCTTCGAGTGCTTGTGGCTGGTGGAGGGATTGGTGGCTTGGTTTTTGCTTTGGCTGCAAAGAGGAAGGGGTTTGAGGTAGTGGTGTTTGAGAAGGATATGAGTGCTATAAGAGGGGAGGGGCAGTATAGGGGTCCAATTCAGATTCAAAGCAATGCTTTGGCTGCTTTGGAAGCTATAGATTTGGAGGTTGCTGAAGAAGTCATGAGAGTTGGTTGCATCACGGGTGATAGAATCAATGGGCTTGTGGACGGGGTTTCTGGGTCTTGGTAAGTTAAAATTAAATTATTTATCTTCCTGTCTTGGCATGAGATACTGATTGGTACTAGCAGACCATCAAAATTAAATTATTTAGTTTCAATTTACTTTAATGTTTTGTGTTCACTGAAACTTTAGTGTACATATTTTAGGAACAGATGATGTATCTGATTTGGCATCTTGTTTTATATCTGTTTGACGAGATTGAGTGGCGTGATGGTACCGTCTTGTTTAGTAAGAAACTTGTGGTAAAACAGAAACTTTGAAATTTAACTGCAGCAGGTGAATGTTTGGCTAATTCAGAGGAGCCAATGCAATGCAAATTCTGAAGCTTGACCGACTGGCTTATTCAGGGGTGCGAATGCTTCGGAAATTCTGATGCTTGACAATGTTTATGTCAGTGATTATAGTAAAAAAAAATTAGTATCATCGTGTTTGCCTGTGGGATTGATTAAAATCTTTGGAGTCTTGGTCTGTGATAGCTGATACTCTACCTTTACAGAACATTGCATAAGTCTGATATGACATGTATTTTCTGTTTCATTAACTTAAAGTTACACATGAAAAAATTGCTCAACACTGAGAATTCTAGTTTTGGAATTGTTGTGAGAACCTGTGAGCAGTACTGGACGAGTTTGTTAGTTCCATGCACAAACTAAAGTAATTGCTCGCAGAATTTACTTATAATGATAATCCTTTATTTGTAATAATGATAAAAGTATGTAAGAATAGGATAACACAGGATCCAGAATTTGCACAGAGGTGTTCTTTTAGTGTAAATCAGCAATTCTTTCTCAAACAAGAATCTTTCTTCCTTCAATTATTTTATATAGATTGAAGATGTTTTCTATAGTTTAATTTACATAATTTTAGTATGCACTATGATTACCGTGAATTGATATATGGTTGGCATTAGGTACATCAAGTTTGATACATTCACCCCTGCAGTGGAGCGCGGGCTTCCAGTCACAAGAGTTATTAGTCGAATGGCTTTACAAGAAATCCTTGCCCGTGCAGTTGGGGAAGAAGCCATTATGAATGACAGTAATGTTGTTGATTTTGTTGATCATGGAGACAAGGTAATTAAAGAAAAGTTTTAAGTTCAAGATTCTCCTGATATTGTTATCATAGGTATTTTTTAAAGCTTTTCTGTCTTTCTTCAAGAAAATGCAATGGCAGACTAATGTGATTAAATATTGTTTGGTTTATTACTTGGGTCATCCCATATTTCAATTGCAGGTAACAGTGGAGCTGGAGAATGGTCAGAAATATGATGGAGATCTCTTGGTTGGAGCAGATGGGATATGGTCCAAGGTCTTATTAAATTTTCTTTGATTTGAAGCTTTTCTGGTTAGCGAATTATTTTCTCTTTGAAGTAATTCATGCCTACTTAACGAGTATAGTTGAGTGCTTCAGTGGAATTCACACAGTTTCTTATGCTAGAAATATCCTTCTAGAAAAAGCAGGTCATATTGTCATAATATGTTTGATGTGTGTGCACATGTGAACTTGCTTTTCAGCTTTGTTCTTCCTTTTAGAACCTAGAAGTACTGAACTCTTTATGTCATTCTGTTCGTAGAGAGTCTTAATGATCGTAAATACTGCTTCTTAACATAGTCTTAAATGGTATTATTTTGTGAATAGGTGAGGAAAAAGTTATTTGGGCCAACAGATGCTACTTACTCTGGCTATACTTGTTACACTGGTATTGCAGATTTTGTGCCAGCTGACATTGAATCTGTTGGGTAAGTTGGCTATGATTCATCTCTTGTATGCCTATTTCTCCAAATTTATCAACATTTTTTTTGTTAATCTTACTTATATTGTATTGAGAAGCTTACTTCAATTTCCCTATGGAAGGTACCGAGTATTTTTAGGACACAAACAATATTTTGTATCTTCAGATGTTGGTTCTGGAAAGATGCAATGGTATGCATTTCACCAAGAACCTGCTGGTGGTGCTGATATCCCCAATGGTATGTGATCTTAATGTGTTCGAGATTTGACATCTGTCAGGCACAGCCTCTGCAGATTAAATTTTCTTCGTGCTCTGTTTATAATCATGGCATAAAATTTGAATTTTTTAATCTTGACTTCTAGATAACTGATCGTGACTTTGAATATACAGAAGAAAAAGGAATTGATTCAAAAGTCCCATACTGGGAAACAAATTTCAACTATTGTGATATTGGAAAATCAATTAATGAGTAACACACTAATTATGCTGAGATTATCTATTGATTGCATTTTGTTAAAATACAAAGATGTACCTAAATGCCACTTAATCACATTCTACACTAGACTCTCTTTTTTGGTTGCTGACATTTTCGCTATATCCGTGTGCGCTGTGAATATGAAGAATAGTTTATAATTGTAGAACTTGGGTATGGAAGATGATAGGATACTGAGTAGGGGCAGTAGTATAAAAGAGAGTGATGAACCTGCAGAAGGAGAATTAGTGAGGCCCAAGGTGTGGCAGTTTTACACAAAGAGGAAAAGGGTGGGCCCTTCAACTAATGATTAATTAGTTAGAAGGGTATGACGTGTTATGGGGGGAGAATATAAGGGGAGAGATTGTATTGGGAGAGGTATGTTGATGGTGAGTTAGTTAGAGGAGAGATAGTCTCTGGAGGAGTCACTGACTTTAGAAAAGCTATGAATACATTGTAGAGCATTTTTGCTCATTCATACGCATTCAATATTATATAGTACTATCGTTTGATCATATTTTTTGCTCTGTCATCTGTTCCTATTATTGGTCCGACTTGCCAGATTCGCGAGGGAGGAGCTAGCGAAGTAGTCCATGCCCCCAAAAATGACTGATTGGGTGGAGGCGTTAAAGGAGAGAATGGCAACAATGGAAGTTTCGATGAGACAATCTCTGGTGGAATTCTGTCTATCTATCTTAGAGGAGTTTTCTAAGCTACGTTCTAGTCGTGATTCAGCATTTTTTGAGACGGAGTCATTGTCAGAATATCGAATGGCGGTGAAGAAGGTAGAATTACCAGCGTTCGATGGTACTAATCCCGTTGGTTAGATTACTCGAGCTGAAACATACTTTGAGGTCATTGGCGAAATTAAGTATGGAGGGGCCAACCATTCATTGGTTGGTTCAACCTCCTTTAAGAGTCAGTTGATCAATTGACTTGGACAAAATTAAAACAAGAGATGATTGGACGGTATGGGGGGCGGATGAGTGAGAATCCATTTGAGGAATCGAGGGACCTAACGTAAACGGGATGTGTGGAGGAACACTTAGCAGAGTTTGAATTCATCCTATCGCAGGTGCAGAGATTACCCGAGGAACAATACCTAGGGTATTTCATGGGCGGTTTAAAGCCTGATATTCGGATACGCGTTTGCACTTATAATCTGTTAAGTCGTCTTTATGCTATGTGGTTGGTACGTGATGTTGAAGCAAAGCTATACGAAGACGCTGTTCCGTGTGGTGGAGCTCCACGAGGATGGAAGGGAAACAGAGAATGGGTCTTTGGTGTTGTGGATAAAGGTGGATCTAGGCTGGGTCAAACTTTACAAGAAGGAAAGAGTGGAAGTAGGCTTGACCCAAGTTGGGGTGCGCATAGCAGTGGCCCACGTTGGCGAGGTTACTTGACGGGTAGTGTGACGCAGACAAAGTCTCGTAACTCTGTTCCGCAAGGCAATCGCGCCTCCTATGATCGATTGTCAACTACAGATCGGAGTAGGGGCATTAGACACCTGCCCTACGCAGAGTTGATGAATCGCAAGGCTTAAGGTTTATGTTTTAGGTATGGAGAAAAATATCACCCCTTACACCAGTGCTCGGAGCACCAGTTGCAACTGGTGATTTTAGGAGATGACAAAGCAATTAATGAGGCCGGCGAGGTGATAGCCATTGAAGCTAAGGAAGAAGATCACGAGCCCACTTTAGATTGCAACGCTATGGGGATGTTTGGGGCAGTGGCGACGAAGCAAAGGAAGGGAACTGCTCCTTATACGTTGCGCCTAGAAGGAAAAGTCAACGGTGTTTCGCTGTTGGTGCTTATTGACAGTGGAGCCAGTCATAATTTCATATCGCCATAGGTGGTAATAGCACTGGCGTTGGAGGTAGAACTAGGAAAATCCATGGGAGTGCGATTAGGGGACGGACATCGAGTTTCCACTACTGGTAAATGTAAACAAGTGAAAATTATGTTGGGTGAATTTTCTACTGTAGCAGCACCATATATATTGGAGTTGGGCAATTTGGATATGATACTGGGGGTCGTTTGGCTGCAGAGGTTTGGGAGAGTTACGTTTGACTGGGAACATATGACTCTTAGTTTTTGTCGGAAAGGACAGTGGGTGGAATTACAAGGTCAGAAACTAGATTTTGACAGAAAACATGCGAATGTGGTGGCTCTGTTACAGAGCTTGATAAAGGACGATGTAAAAGAGGGAGAAATAAGGTGTGAACAGGGCTGCCTCCCCCTGGAGATGTGTCACATGTCATTGAACTGCACTGTGAGGCTGGACCGATAAATGTGCGGCCTTACCGTTATCCGTATCACCAAAAAGAGGAAATTGAGAAGCAAGTGGACAAAATGCTTAAGCAGGGAATTATTAGGCGCAGTTCTAGTTCTTTCTCTAGTCCAATGATTTTAGTAAAGAAGAAAGATGCATCATGGTGCATGTGTGTGGACTACTAAGAGCTGAATAAAGTCACAGTTCCAGATAAGTATCCCATTCAGGTAGTAGAAGAATTATTAGATAAATTATATGATGCTACTTACTTCTCTAAATTGGACTTAAAATCAGGGTACCATCAAATACGTATGAGGGAGGAAGATGTCCATAAAACAGCCTTTAAGACGCATGATGGGCACTATGAATATTTGGTTATGCCATTTGGGCTAACCAATGCTCCAGCCACTTTTCAATCCACCATGAACCATATTTTTAAACCTTACTTGAGAAAATTTGTGTTGATATCTTTTGACGATATCTTGGTGTATAGCAGGGGATGGGTTGAGCATTTGAAGCATTTAAAGGCTGTTTTGCAACTATTGGAAGAACAACACTTTGTGGTCAATCAAAAAAAGTGTGTTTGGAAGTAGGCAAATGGAGTATCTTGGTCATTTGATTTCGAATCAAGGAATAGTTGTTGATTCTACGAAAATTCAGTGGTAGAGTAGCCAATTCCGCACAATGTTAAAGGCGTAAGGGGGTTCCTCGGTTTGACTGAGTATTATAGAAAATTTATTAAAGGGTATGGCAAAATTGCTGAACCATTAGGAAGTAGCTCATTAACTCTTTAGCAACAAACAACAAGCAACTAGCTACAGTTCCCTACGGGGCTATTACATCTTTTCCCTCCAAGGGAGCTCCATGGCAACAACAACTCTCCTCCCTCCTTCCCCTCTCCTGGAGCCTCGGAATCAGATCCTTTCCTTTATATTTATTTTAAGCCTTGACCTCCATTTAGTCTAAATCGTTCTCTATTTTCTTGCACACTGCCACGGACTCACGGGCTTTGGTTGATTGCTGAATGAAAGTGGATAAGCAAAGTGAAAAGAAGGGGCTCTCGAGGAGCAGCCACTCTCGGAACGAGCGAGTAAGAGAGCAGCGGATCTAGTACTGCCCCGAGAGTAGCACACAAAGGCGAACCTAGTTGCTTGTTGTTTATTGCTAAGGAGTTAATGAGCTACTTCCTAATCCAGTGAGTGATCCTCGGGTGAGGAGCACGAACGATAAAGGGATTGGTAGTTTAAAAACATACCTTTTATTATCTTATCTTTTTAAACCGTAGTAATTCATTGTTGCAGCTGATTCACTATCTCGTGTATGTGAAGAAGGGGAATTACTGGAGATAGTCACAATGCCAATTTGGTTACAGGGGCAGCAAATACAAGAGGAATGCAATGCTGACCCTTTTCTTCAAAAGGTGGTGAGTGACTTGCAACAAGGTGCTACTTCTCACCATGGATTTAGTTTACAGCAAGGGGTATTGATGTACAAAGGAAGATTGGTTATTTCAGCAAAGTCACCTCTTATTCCTCATGTTTTGGAGGAATTTCATTCATCTCCTGCTGGTGGCCATTCTGGGTTTTTGATAACCTATAAAAGACTGGCTGGAAATCTATATTGGGTGGGCATGAAGAAAAAAGTGCAGGATTTCGTGAAAAACTGTGATATTTGCCAGCGCCATAACTATGTTGCCACCTCCCCAGCAGGGTTGTTACAGCCCTTGCCTAAATGTGAGGGATTTGAAGCTATATTTGTGGTGATGGATCGGTTATCTAAGTGTGGACATTTCATACTCTTCAAACACCCTTATACAGCAAGAAAAGTAGTTGAAGTGTTTGCTAAAGAAGTGGTTAGGCTTCACGGCATACCCCACTCAATTGTCAGTGATCGAGATCCATTGTTCATGAGTATTCTGGCAGGAGCTGTTCCGTTTGCAGGGAACCACGTTGAAGATGAGTTTTGTCATCCGGAGATCGATGGTCAAACGGAAGTGGTGAATAGATGTTTAGAAGCTTATCTTAGATGTTTTGTGTCAAAGCAGCCCAAAAATTGGTCATATTGGGTACCATGGGCAGAATTGTGGTACAATACCACATTTCTTGCATCCATGGGCAAAACTCCTTTTGAAGTAGTTTATGGAAAGACACCCCCTCCATTGGTGCGATTTTTCCAAGGGGAAACAAAGGTGGAAGCGGTGGCAGCTGAGTTAGTGGACTGAGATGAGGCCCTCCGACAATTACAATATCATTTATTGCATGCTCAACAACAAATGAAGAAGTTTGCGGATAAGAAAAGAAGATTCATGGAATTTGAAGTTGGGGAATGGGTGTTTGTTAAGCTGCGTCCTCATAGGCAGCAAACTGTAGCACGGAGAATTAAAATCCAAAATTAGCTCTGCAATATTATGGGCCTTTCCTGATAGTAGCACGAATTGGTTCTGTTTCCTATAAACTGCAGCTACCAGTTCATCCTATTTTTCATATTTCTCAGCTTAAGAAAGTTGTTGGTGACTATACTGTTGAACCTGCATTACCAGCAGAGTTAGATGTTAACCCAGCTGACATGGAAGAATCTGAATCCGTGTTAGCATGCAGGGAATTTCTTCTAGCAGGTCAAGTGATTAAACAATGGCTCCTTAAATGGAAAGGCAGGTTTGTTGATGACACTACTTGGGAGGATGAAATGTTATTCTGTGGACAATTTCCTTGGCTGCACCTTGAGGACAAGGCTGCTGTTATAGAGGCGGGCAATGATAGGATACTGAGTAAGGGCAGTAGTATAAAAAAGAGTGATGGGCCTGTAGAAGGAGAATTAGTGAGGCCCAAGGTGTGGCAGGTTTACATGTGGAGGAAGAAGGTGGGCCCTTCAACTAATGATTAGTTAGTTAGAAGGGTATGACGTGTTATGGGGAGAGAATATAAGGGGAGAGATTGTATTGGGAGATGTATGTTGAGGGTTAGTTAGTTAGAGGAGAGATAGTCTCTGGAGGAGTCATTGACTCTGAAAAATCTATGAATATATTATAGAGCATTTTTGCTCATTCATACGCATTCAATACTATACAGTACTGTCGTTTGATCATATTTTTTGCTTTGTCATCTGTTCCTATTAGAAGATAACTAAAGGACACTTTATTAAGTCAGCAATGGAGTACTTGTAACAAGAGAAATGACACAAGCAGTAGAATAATAACACCTGGAATTCAAAAAAATAACAACTAGATGAGAGATACTTAAATTTTTTATACCTGAGCAGTGCTTGCTGACTTGCAATTTTCCATTTCTGTATTTCTTCAAAACTTCCTTTGCACGCATACTTTGTGTAGTAAGTTATACATCTATTGCTTCTCTCCAACTAGAGAGTTTTACCATTTCCTTAAATTCTGCAAGCACAAATACAGAAACACTACATCTTTCATGAAATCCAAAAGCAATGAAATGCCTCTCATAGGCTCATCATCAATGTTCTACTCCTCAATGGTCTTGCACTCTGAAAATTTCCTTGCTTGTTAGATAAGCAATGAATTTGTAGAATTTGTATTCCTTATCTTCAGAGCAGGCAAACTAAGTCTCAGCAAAATAAAAAAATAACTCAACTCTTGTTCTATCAAGTTGATATTGAGATGAAGATTGCCAATCAGATTGACTAGGTTTGGTTACAGCAATTTTGGTATTGGAAATATAGAAATTTGATGACTGAAAAAAAAGAGATTTATCTTTATCTTTTCATGATTGCTCATGAAAAAAAAATTATAAATTTTGTCATATCTAACTTCTGAATTCGTTCTGCATGGCAGGAAAAAAGGAAAGGCTGCTTAAGATTTTTGAGGGCTGGAGTGATAACGTAATAGATTTGATACTTGCTACAGAAGAAGAGGAAATTCTTCGACGAGACATATATGACAGGACACCAACTCTGACATGGGGAAAGGGCCATGTCACCTTGCTTGGTGATTCTATCCATGCCATGCAACCAAATATGGGCCAAGGAGGATGCATGGCTATTGAGGTATTTTAATAGACTGTTAACAATTAATTGTAAGAGTAGCATTTAATGACTAATGCCATACCCAACATCTTACCATGACAACTCCATGAGGTTTATATGTTTCTTTCATATTTTCTTTTTTTGGCTATTCTTCCCCTCTCAGTGAAATATGACTTTATTCTTCAGTTAACTTCAGCAGTTTCAAACATATTCAGACCTATTAAATATTGTTAAAGTTTTCCAGGCTTTAATGAAACGTGAATTTATCTTTATTCTTCAGTTAGTTCAGCAATTCCATTCATATTTGGAATTGGAACTAACACATAGTTATCTGGTTTTCTGGGCTTAGGTATTTTACATATTTTTTTTACTTTATGCTTGTTTTTCTATATTTTTATTATTATTATTTTCTTCCCAAGGCTGTAGAAATAGCCAACTTTATCTATGCCACCCACATATATATGCCGAATTAACAAAAAATGCATAAAATTAAAATATCCCTTGTTGAGCCGATGGGCATCAAACAAAGTCAAAACTTACTGTGGAACGCTCAAACAATGTGGTGAAGAACCTTTCTAACTGGCTTCTTTTATCACTACAGGACAGTTATCAACTTGCATGGGAGTTGGACAAAGCATGGCGGCAAAGTATAAAATCAGGCTCTCCAATTGACATTGATTCTTCCTTAAAGAGGTTACAAGTCATTCACTTCTTAAATGTGCTAACGAATGCCGGATTTGAATCCAAATCTGTTTAATTAATAACAAGCACCAGACTTCTAAAACTTGTGAGATGGAGGCAAAGCCTTAAGAAATGATCAGAGCAAGTGATATAAAAATATAATGTTGTTGTTGCTCAATATGACCAGAGATGCTTGCATATCTCAGCCAAATGGTGCAGTAGTTGATCATACACCATTAGCAAATTGGATGATTTGATTATAAATCTCTTTGCTGACTTAGCACCTGTCTCTTGCCCCCTTTCCATTGTTGCTTTCAGCTATGAGAGAGAGAGAAGATTACGAGTTGCCGTCATTCATGGAATGGCTAGAATGGCTGCTTTGATGGCTTCCACCTACAAGGCATATCTGGGAGTTGGTCTTGGGCCTTTAGAGGTAAAAAATGTGAGAATATAAAGAAAATGTGAAGATGACACTTCAGATTGATATGCTGTCCAACAATACGTGATTGCTTTCCATTGCAGTTTTTGACCCAGTTTCGCATACCACATCCTGGAAGAGTTGGAGGAAGGTTTTTTATTGACAAGATGATGCCTTTGATGTTGAACTGGGTCTTAGGTGGCAATAGGTAATTATGAAAGCCCTCATTTCTTTGCTATTAACTTTCTTTTGTCTTGAATTATTGCTGTTGATATCCCTGGATGGAGCTATTCTTCTTATCCAATGGCTCACTTCAAATTAGCATTGGTAGCGGACTGATAATAGTGAAAAATAACTTCGTGCTTTTGTCTTGGTGTAGATAAGAATTGGAAATATTTTACACAATTAAACCCTCGCAAAAGTGTGCAATTTTACTTCCATCGTGTACTTAAAACATGAAAAATGGTGCTACTTTTGCAGCTCCAAACTTGAAGGTAGACCAGTAAGTTGCAGGCTCTCAGACAAAGTATGTGGCTCAAATACAGTTACTTTTGTACTTTGTTACTAAAAAGAAATGGTAGCTGGTCTTTTATTGGTCATGTCTGTTAGATTTTGTTGTGATCTGGATATTGGCGTTTGATTATTTATGAAGGCAAATGACCAGTTACACAGATGGTTTGAAGATGATGATGCACTTGAGCGTTCCATTAACGGAGAGTAAGTCTTTGATCCAATATGAATGAATATCATCCTTTGGATATTTCCTCCTTTATAGTCTATATAGATCACATAACTGCTGTGTCCATCTTTCTTGTTGAATTTTAGATGGATTTTATTTCCATGTGGAGATGAAGCAGGTCTTTCAAGACCTATATGTTTGACTCAAGATGAGATGAAACCCTGCATAATTGGGTATGCCTTCAGTTGCACCTACTCACAAATTACAATGTAGCCACATAATCGTATGTTCTGTCTGATAATATATTAGTTATTCAATGAATTATAAGTTAAATAGGAATGTGTTGGGAAGCCATTTTGAATTTTTTTAGATTAATGAAAATCTTACACACACCAATTAGATTTTGGACAAGTGTATTAGTGTGTGCTGTTCATTCTCGGTCATCACAGAAAATGTTTTCTTTTCTTACTCTCAACCCATCTGCTGACACATTCATTACTTCATTTGCAGGAGCACGCAGCAAAAAGACCATCCAGGCAGTTCAATTGTAATACCTTTACCCCAGGTAACAAATTATCATGACTTGAATTAAACATGGTCTCACTCATAATGGTCTTCAACACATGATGCAACAAAGTTTCTCTTTTTAAAGGTTTCTCAAGTGCATGCTCGAATTAACTATAAGGATGGTGCCTTCTTCTTGACTGATCTGCGGAGTCAACATGGCACCTGGATCACTAAGTACGTAAAAGATGTGTATATTATTTTATGTAATTTTAATCCTTGAAAATGTATATTTAATTTCTTTCTCATCATATTTTCAGCAATGAAGGAAGACGGTACAGGGTACCTACAACTTATCCTGCCCGTGTCCATCCATCTGATGTGATTGAATTTGGTTCTGATAAGGTGGTAAATTGTCCCTATAAAGTACCTTATACATACATATTGGACATTTGTGTCTTCACTGTCTTCTAAAGCTTTTAATATAAATGGGTGCATGCCAAAAAGGAAGAGTAACCTTTTTCACTTCAAACCACTTTTTTACTAATCTTCTAACTCTGGCGCCTCCTTCCACTTCCCAGCTTTATTATGTGTTTTTGGTCAACTCTGCTTTATTAGTTTGGCAGGTCTGCAGGGAGGCTTTGAAGTGGCCTATTGGGCCTAGATTTATATTCTGGGTCCAGAACATAGTTTTGTTCACATCTTCAGTCCATTTGACCAAAAATATGATATCTTCAGTCCATATCATACTTAAATGCAAACTTACTTTAATCGGAATGTCATTATCATACTTAAAGAATCGGTTAGTACCTGTAAATATCATTATGTGACATAAATCTTTTATGTATTAGTCAAAATGTCCTTGCCTGAAAATATGCCACTTTGCTTCAAATATTGCATGATTTACAGTGCTGAGCATCTAAGTAATTTGCAGGCTTCATATCGTGTTAAGGTGACAAGATCTGCTCCAAGAGAATCTGAAAACGAAGGAACAAAATTTTTTCAAGAAGTATGATCATGATTCTGTTCAGTCGCAATTTGTCCTCTAAGTTACAGAGAAGTTGTACAGTACAAAAATCGGGGCCATGTAACCAACATATGCATTCTTTTAGTGCAGAGTATTATATAACAATGCCAATCATTTAGGATCTGAACATTTTTTACCAAATTTTGATGGTGATATAGGGAATGAAATTGTATATTTACTGATACAAGAAAGGAAAATTCAATCTCTTTTTCACTCTTCTTGGTTTGGATATATGTGTCTTTTACTTGAACAAGCTTAGCAAAATTCATGACAAATCTATAAGGCTAATTTGATTTTAGAACGGATGGTGGGTCGTATATTTCAACCTAATGTTGTTGAAAATGATATGTTTCATCATGACTTGACATGAGCAAAGTGTTATATGTATAATTCTCACCTCTTTTTTTTTTTTTCAGACAAAGGTAGCCACTAACATTTTTATGATCAATGAGATGTCACTATTTCTAGGATTCTTTCCTGGATAAAGATTGTCATTATAGAATGGTATCTCATTTCATCTTCACACGGTTGCGCGGTTTCCAATCCTGCGAGTAGTATTATTTTGAAGAAACTGTTAAGAGCAATTATTCAGCAAACTGGGCCCAGATTTTTTTTTGTGTCCATGAGCAGGGGCACACCTTATATCAAGTAATGATGTTATTTTCATATATTCACATTCACATATTTGTAACATACTATGAAATCAATGACTTGTTTCATTGCACTCCAATTTTTTTCAAACGGTCAACGATTTTGTGCGGATAGTTATTTTTTTTATGATGTTTTTGACTTGTGTATGTATGTCCTGGCTGGGCTCTGTAACCAAACAAATTTTGGGTATGTCAGGTGTTGAGCCTGCAGTCCGTAACTCACTTCTTTTGTTCTTCCGAATAATAGGATAGGTTTTGGACCCAACAAAACAAAAGAAACATAGGATAGGTTGAAGCTCCAAACATTTGTCCTATTGTCGTTATGTATTATTTCATAACTATCCTTCGAAGAATTGGAACTTATAATTATAATTAATCAGTGATATTATTGCTATAATGTAAAGATGGTCTAGGGGGGAAAAAATTGAAATCAAATGTCACCTATGTTCGTAGACCTTTACAATTTGTATCACGTGGGATTGGTGGTAGGGAGGCTTCTGTTCAATTTTTTAACATGATAAATAGTGTAAAAAAAATGTTTACATCAGTTTCTATGATTGTTTTTAAGCAGTTAAAAGTAGTATATTTAAAAAAAAAACAATTATTATGTAAAAAATATAAAAATCTAGTATAGAGTTTCTTTGCAAAGAAAAAATATTTTTGAATGTTTAAAACGAATTTTAAAGGCTGATATTAAAAAAATTTGATAATGTAAAAACAAAGTAAAATTGTTGAAATAATAGTGTTAATTGTTTTTTTTTTTTTTTGTAATACAGAAAAAGTAATGAAATGAATAGGCCCCTCGAGATGGTTACATTTCGGAAGTACACATTTATATGTTGATGATTTAATAATGGTGTGTGATTGATTTTGTGTGTTTTCAGACTATGATGACATTGACAAGCACATAAGCAAAGGCAAAGTAAGAGCTAGGAGGGACGATGGGAGCATGAGCGAAAGCTGGTCCTACAATTAATAATGCACACTAGTCTAAGAAATTAGAGATAGAAAACAGCAACCATATAGCAAAGGACAATGTTGGAAGTTTCGACAAGCTTGCCTTAATGTCAACAAGGTATAGTCACTATCCTTGGTCACACTGCAAATTCTTCACGTTGTATAGAGCGTTGTCTCCCATTGCATGAACAAAAAACGAAGAGAAGGATCAAAGTTCAAACTGGGAATATGAGAGGCCAAGAGGGGATGAAGTGGTGGCCACTACCATCCCCCTCTCTGCCAGACAAGATAACTTGGATTGGGCCTCACCACCACCACCGTCCATCATCACCTCTCCATCACATCACTCCATATCTTCTTCGTTCCATTAATTGTTTGGTTTATACAATTTAGATGTAGTCTCAAATATTGACGGCTAAGATCAAATGGGGGGTATGTGGGGCCTATAAAGGATCGCAAGTGTGGGATTGTCTCAAATGGCTGAGACACAGAAACGACGCAAGAGCAAAGACCATACCCATTAATGAGAATGGAAAGGATATGGGGCCATCTGAGTCACGAGGGAAGCACGTGGAAGGGAAAAGATCATGGAGTCTTGGCATGTCAGATGAATCAGCCATGAAAGAGAAGAGAGAAGCAACAGTAGATCAACGGTCGGGTTCAGCATTCACTGTGTCTATAGGCAAATAAGGTCCGATATGTACTGCAGTGACCGTTGGTGGATGCATTTATTCTTTGTCGTTATTTTCTATTTCCACAAAATTTTGTGCAATTTTACTAACATATTTAAATTATTTTTTTAATTTTATAAAAATATTAAGTTAAAAAAATAAGATTTATGTAATTTTTAATAAACTTTAATTGATAATTAATAGTGTATTAAAGAGCTTGGTAGCATTTCACATGTTACTACAGTACATGCTATAATGTTTTGACATTTTGATATCCCATTTGTTACTATCACTGTGTGTCATTAATTTGAATAATTTCACGCAGAGAACACTACAGTCACTCATGAGTCATGATCCTTTCTTGCTGTTATTTTTCGTTGTTCTTGTTTAGGATGTTGGACCCCTTTTGGTTCCTTTCCCATTATTATGCTCTGTCACCGCCCAAGTTTTCTTGCTCTCTCAAAATCATTTTAAAAAGGTAGTCCCATCCACTGTTTCATATCGTTTATTATTTAAAGTTATATATACACGGATTATTAAAATGTTTTTATTTGAGCTCGATTATTTCATTTTATCAACAAATTTACTACTTCATAGGTAAAAATAATAATAAATGAGAAATTTAATTATAAATGGTTAGTTAAAGTAATTTAATCTTTGTTTGTTATAATATTTAAAAATAAGTGAATGTAGATTTATAAATCCTTTACACGTGTATTAAATAAAATATAATTAAAAAAATAATTTTAAATTTTAGTGGGAGCATTTTGTTTTCTCTTATTTCCGGGAGTGCATTCAATAGCATATAGGAAATTTTTGGAAGGAACTGTGGGGATTTTTAATTCAAAGTTAGTTATGTAAAAATATACAAGTTTAGACTTTAGGGTTAATTTGTAATGCTTAATCTGAAAAAATCTACTCTAAATTTTCTTGGCGTCTGCTGCATAAGACCACCAAATTCATGTTACATGCTCAGATGTGTTGTCTATAACATTTTAGCTACAACTGCAAAACCCTCACTTCCACCCAAAAAGGATGAAAATGAAACACCACCTTAGGAGAAAGAGTTGTGCACAAGCGAGATAGCAATCCAATACTCCATTCTAATATGCTGCCTTATTTGTATTAATTCAATTTTTTTATGATATTAAAAAAAATAGTTAACTGATATTACAAATAATTAATCAAAATGTTAACGTTTGAATAAAATAGTAGAGTCGAAAAATGATTTGAATTGGAAACTAGAAGGTGGCAATGAAATAGAAATGGAACCTTGTTTTCCCTTCACATGAGGGACCTGCACTTGTGTCTAGTGTAGATGAGATGCTCCCCAAAATGCTTACAAAACAAGCAATTTAAGACAAACCCCTAACCAAAAAATTACAAAATGTCAGCTTCATTTTTCATTACTTAACAAATTAGACTAACATGTTCCAACGTTGAAAGTAAGAAGGTGCGAAGAAGTTTACAAATGAACAACAGCCAAGTGTGCTATCGCAAAAGCCTCTTCTTTCATGCACCTCTGATCGTACGGAACCCTTCCGTTGGGACATTGGAGACCCCAATCACGTGGCCCCTCTTTCCTCCATGCCCAATAATTTTCGATTCTAAATTTCCCCCCATTTTTTAAGGAGAAAACAAGTATTTAAACCCTTACATTTTGGTTTTTTTTAAATAATTAACTCAGAAACAATTATTATTTATTTAACATATATAATTCTTTTTATTAATTTAATAAATTTATTTATTTATTTCTTATTAAAAAAACACAAAGGAGATGTTGTTGATATTATTTTAACAAATATTTTCATTCAATTTCTGTTAAGTAATTTGCTGTAATGTATGACAATTAACATTGAATTCACCAATTCATTACATTTGAAACATTAATTATGTAATTTAAGAAAATTTTAAATGAAATCAAGTTTCATTACGTTTCTCTATTTTCTTCCCATAACTTAAACTCGATCGTGGACAAATTATGTCCATTAACTTCATTGTTGCATCGAACCCAAAAAACTCTATAGCCACCTTGAAAAACCATAACTACAATCTCGAGTGTCTTTTTTCCACTCTATTCCAACATCAACACGCTGACAACAATGTCCAAGCCTAGATCTTGCGTCTCGCCATCAATCACAGTCCACACCCGCAACCCATGGTCAATGATGTTAAGGGAGAATGAATCAGAAGCAATTAAGGTTAGGAGTGTGTTAGAAGAAAAAACAGAGGAAACTATTTTGGATGAGTTGGAGTTGAGTGATTCTAGAGAGATAAGTCTATGAGAGTGAGTACAGAGCAAACAAGGTTAAGAGTATGTTAAAAGAAAATGTAGATAAAATAATTTTGGAGGAGATTGAGTTGATGACAAATCATCATGATAATGTTACGGGATGATGACAGTGACACTCACAAGCTGATAAGAAACATAATAATGTTTTGTTATCTACAAAAATACAAAATTAATTTATACATTCTACACAAATAATAATAAATCTTATTACAATTAATTTGTATCTTTCTTCTCATAATGTAATATCATCAGGGTCTGTACTAAGATGAAAGAATCAAAATTTGACAAGTCAAAGAAGTGGAGTGATTTGTTTTTTTAATTATTATTATTTAAGATAAATTCAAATAAGTTAGGTAATAAACTAATTCTCGCTTCAGATTTAATTTAAAAGATAGAACAAATTTGGCCTTCCCTCTGCTTATTGCCATCTATTCATCTCCAATCCGTATAATAAGGGTTATAACGCATGGCTATGCCAAAATTTGTGTCTTTCTCACCCAAACACAACAGGGTGCCTCGTTCTTCTGTCGTTTACTATTGTTGTTTTTGAGTGTCAGTTTTTCTGCCTGCAAACCCATACATGCATTGCATGCATATCCTTTTTCAAATTTCAAGGAAATTGAAGTTCATATAAAAGAAACAAAAAAAAATCAGGTATCTCTGTCAAATGACATCGAAATTGAAATTATACTGAAAAGATGAGACCTTTGGGCTTTCTACCACAGAATGCCCCTTTTTTTGTTTTCTTATGATTCGTACGATACTGATTTTCATTCCCTCCCCTTATGTGGTGCCAAAACGACACCGACCTAAGCAATCTCCTTGGATGCAAAACGACGATACCAGCATTGGCTGGCCTGGCCCTGGATGGCTATGATATGATGCTCTACTGTCCCACACCAGCGCACCAACCGCATGTTCTGATCCAAGGCTCACATTTCTATTCAAGCTATTACTACAATATTCGTATTTGTGTATGTGCACATACACACGTGCACTGGTCGTTTAGAAGCAAGAGCCATAACCAGCCAACTAAACATTTCATACAAATTTTCAAATCAAACCACTCTGAAATAAATCATAATAATATTTAAATACAAGTAGCTCAATGCATCGTAAAAAGAAAGGTTTTTGTGTTTCAGGAAATTCATTACTCTGTAGACAGCAGTGTTTAACCGTTGATCGCTTATTATGAACTCGTCATTTTATACATATGTATTAAGGAAAGGATGATTATCATAAACATGTAATTTTGATCTATTTTGTGCACTTCGTTTCATAGTACAACGCGTTTCCCCAATTCCTCATCGTTTTTAACCCAAAAGAGGGAAAAGCAAACCCTGAGACCTTAAAAAATAAAAATAAAAAAGAAAGAGAAAAATAAGTGTTCATGCTCATGCAGTTCCCAAGTATCAAATCATGACCGGGAAACCGACTGAGCCAGTTTCTCGATTCTTTCCACGAGCTCAGGGGAAAGCTTCTTAGCCGGTTTCCGTTCCTTCTCGGGTCGAAAGTCGAATCCTAAAGCTTCGGAAACCTCTTCGGAGCTCCACCCAGCTTTTCGGAGCGAATCCGAAAACCTGTCCGCTTTCAATAGTAAAGCATCTAACAGCGCTTGATTATCCAACAAAACCATCTCTCCTTCGAAGAATCCAGAAGCCGAAACCTGAACCATTTCGGATATATCCGATTCGCTCCACCCACCCGCTTTCAAAACCGACCCGATTTGCCCTATGTATTCTTCCACCCAGCCCGGGACTTTAGACCGTGGCATGTCGAAAAACCTCTCTGGCGAAGACGACGCCGACGACGAAGAGTTCCTCCTCCGACGATCGCTGGCTGCGTCAGTCCAGAACTCCACCCACCTCGGGGTCCTCCCGCCGGCGTCGAGGCTCCTCCGGGAGAAAGCGGCGGAGGAACCCGCGGTTTTCTCGCTAACGGATCGCTGCTTCTTGAGAACCATAGGGTCAGATTCAGAGCTCCGGAAGAGCGATTCTCGTTCGAAGAAGTCGGAGAGATCCAAACCGCAGCAGAAGATCCTACTCTCATCGACAAAGAAGATAGGGTTTCCGGCGAGAGAAGGATTGGAGGGAATGTAGCAATGGTTGAAGATAGGAATCAATAGAGGCGCTCTCTTCAGCGCGTTCCTCGCCACTCGCAGCGCCTTCTCAGGTTCACAAGGTCTCGGACCCCAGGACTTCGACCAAACAGCGTTCCTCGCGATCTGGAACGAAATCGCGGCGATCGGAAGGTCCAGCGAGGCGCGGAGGTGGAGGCGCGCGCCGCCAGCGCGCCAGTCAGGAAATCCGGGACCGACAGGCAAACCGGCGGCGAGAACTGCTCGTAGGTCCGGCGGGAAAACGAAACCGAACTCAGCTTCAGCACGTGCGAACTCAGCGTCGGAGAGACCCGGTTGCACGTGTATGCCTGAGTTGCGAAGGTGGGTTAGGACCTTATCTGCAAGTGAAGAGAATGAAACGACACCGTTACGGACGGGAAGAGAAGCAGCAGCCGCCGCTCTGGCCGATAACCGCCGTAGACCGGCTATGTGAGCCGGGTTTAGACCGGTCATCCTCCGGTCCACGTCGACCATTGTATTTTTATTGAGGCGTTATTAATAGGACTGAGAGTGTGTGGTCTTTCTCTTTCTCTTGGGTGCTTTTCCACAACCAGAGCCGGAGGACTTTGGCTTGTGCACAAACCTCTAATTTATAGCATAAAAAAAGTGGAGCCCACTTCGTGATTATGTATTTTCTTTTGCCATATTTTTATTTTGTCGTAAATGGTAAATGGGAAATTCGCAAATTGCAAATTGCAAATTGCAAAGCATGATATGATAGTAGTATAGTATAACATTAGCTGTTGAGCAACGGCTCATTCAAGAACCACCTGTCCCTTTATCAACGGGAATGCGATTTTTTGCCGCTAAAAAGTTTTCACGCGGTGTAATTAGTTTTTGTTTAAGGTAATCTTCCCCTAATCTTAGTATTTTATTCCATTGTAGGAAGGTTAACTTGTGCTTTGCTTTTTCAGTGACCACACACAGATTTGGTGATATGATTTTTACTGGTAGCTTATTTCTATAGGCAGGTTAACTTGTGCTTTTAAGATTATTATTGTTAGTATGCATGACTAATCTTTGGCCCACGAGCAATCATGCGTTTGTTTGGCGGGGGATCTAAAAGCTAAGCACACAATCATAATGGCACATTGTTGTGTACACTCTAACGTTAATCCCCTCTCTCACTCTCTTTTTTTTTCCTTTCATGTTGCAATCTTTATTTCTTTCCGCCATTGTTTCAAGAAAGATGAAGAAAAAGTTATATCCAACTAATCATTAGTCGTTAACAATTGACTTAACGAGGAGGTGTCCCTCAAATAGAGGGCATGGTTAATTTTGCAATTAATTGGCCTCCCATCCCAAGTACCAATATCTATCTTCACACATGATGAAACTACTAGCAACTCTGGCGTTGTTAACTCCCATGGTCCTACTAATTCCAGTTCAAATTTGTCATTTTTTTGCCTGGCGCCAATATTCTCCTGTAAATTTTAGTTTTGGTTTTTTAACTTTTTATTGGATTTAGTTATTTAATTTTTTGTGTCGTTATTTTTTTAATTTTCTCCATCTCATAATTGTCTCTACACCTTCTTCTCTGTAATCACTATCCAACACTTGTAAACTGTAATTGGAAACTTTCACAGCTACCCACAAACTATTCTCATTCAGCCACATTATCCATGAATTTTTTGTTAAAAGTAACCATTATTTACCTACTAAATGCCATACCTCCATTTATGCGACTCTGCCACCAATGACTACTTCTATTATAAGCTCATATCTATATCAAGAATTAAAACATCTTCGAAATCAACAAACGTCAGAAGATATAACACAATTAAAAAAAATAGTCCCAAAACAAAATTTAAAGGACAAAATCTATAATTTAATCACGTGAGTTTGAGTATATAAAAGCATTGGTTGATCGAACCTCCTTAAAAAACAGTGTTTGGTTACCTTCACAAGCTAGGTGCCTAATGCCTATTTACTGTTTCTCAGAACTTGACCCACTTAAAAGCATCGGTGAGAGGCTACCATCGTTATTAATGTGATGGTTCACCCTTACAGATAACAATGTATCTGAAATTGGAGGTTAGGGAGTAGTAACCTCAACGGCTCAACCTCAACCATAACTATTGCAAAGTCACACACACTCTAGAGGACCCCATTGCTACAGTCACGTGGCCCTACTTCTTTTATCTCTAAAGTTTCCCAAGCAAATAAATGATACCATCAATAAAATTTTGGTAAAAAAAATTAAAACTTTGCACTAAATAACTTAATGAAAATCAGAAATAATCAGTGGATAAATTTTCAGGGGTATTAATAGTGTATTAAAATTAAACTATAAAACATTTATTATACCAAGTTTTGTCAAAAAAATATTTTTACAAAAAAAATGAACTTTTGAAAAATGATGCCCCAACACAAACCAAATTTGTTACAAACTTATCAAGGCTTAATCTCTGGACGTTATTACTATATTATAAAACTTAATTGACTGTAACTGATACGTATGTGGAAGAAGTATCCAAAAAAGATGAAGCCAAAAAAATGAGGGGAATCCTAGAAATTGCTTTCAAAATACATATTAAGCCAAGCCACCGCCTATGCTAAGAAAGGCGGCATTTGATATTTTTCTTAACGTCTCTTTGTAGCATTGGATGCATTCACATGGTGGCATCCTACAAACACTTGTGAACATTTTCATGATGGCCGCCCCAAAGTGTTTTTGCCCATGCCACTAATGTTTAGTTTATTCCAAATTGAAAATAACACCTAAACTGTTCTATTTAAGGGAACACCATTAACCTTTGATTAGACATTAAAGTGATAATCAAGGACGAAACACTCTGGTCAAACCTGTAGGGTGTCAAGTGATGAAGAAAAATGCATTGATTAATGCACATTGCAATATTTGAGCATAGGAATAGAGAAGAATGAAAGTTTAATAAATCCTTTTCACATGCATCCTGTTAATTTTCCTGATTTTGTTTTGGCTTCATACCTCAAATTACAAAAGCCCTTGATGAGAGAATTCGGATAAAGTTAACCATGTGTGAGCCCTCTTATTTAGATTAAAATAAGATGTCAAAATGCATATTAAGTTATTAACGGTCACTTTCTGACCCTGAGCACGTGACCAGAACACTGATATTCTCCCAAACTGCAATATTATATTAATACTGATACATATGCCATCAAAGATATTGGCGCAAAGAAAGGAAATTAAGGAGGTGGAAACAAAACAGCTGTCATGTGAAATTGGCCTAAAACTCGGACCCTTTTCATGAAAGAAATAAATAAGTTTAATATTTGACATATCATTTGGTTGGTAAAGATGGAATTCGGTCAACGACTTTGCCTTGTATATTCATTACAACCATATTACTATATGAAATATTTTTTCACCAGTTTGAACCAAAGAGCATATTCAATTATTTACAATCATATATAAGATAATACCCCCTCCCTCCCCCTCGTAATCCATCAAAATTCTAACTCACAGAAAATTTATATTTAGCCTATTTTAAAAAACAATTAAAATATAAACTTACTATTTATTAAATACATAATCTTATTTCGTTTGACTTGATAATCACATGATCCATTTACTTCGTTAAGTTTTTTCCTGCTCAATAATTTACTTCATTAAGTAAGCGATCCACTTGAAATCGTCTTGGTTTAGAAGCAACTTCAACGCCACTCATTCCCCTCTTCTCCTATTTGAAGAATCTGACTTTGTTGGACTTTTGGGGGGTTACATGGCCCATTTTTCACACTTCCTTTTAAAAGATAAGCTCCTCCTTTGGGAACCATAGTTACTTGATTTTGTTTTCTCATTGTACTTTTCTTGAGAGGAAGACTTTCATGGACTTTTAACATTATTATAAATTGTGCTTAATTAATCTCAATTTGTGGATGAGGATCCATGTGCAACTTTCAATTAATTAATAAGGTTCTTTAATTGGAGATGTGAGCTGGTTTTTGGCCAACAAAGTTGCATGGTCTTTAATTTGAACATAGTACCGTAGAAACAAAGGTTAGGATTGGATCGGATCATGAGGGCTTTTGAGGAAGGCATGGACCAATTAGCATGGCCTCTAACCTTATCGTAAGCTACAAAAGAAGAAATGTAGAAGGAAAGTTCAACAATTTATGGGTGAGTGAGTGAGGAACCATTTGGAGATTCTCCATACTTGTCGTGAGAAAGATAAAATCTTTTTGTATGTGGGTTTAGTGGGCAATGTAGGGGTCCATGTACCAAATGGAGGTTGGGTGGGGGGTTGTGGGCTACATTGCTTCCTTGTCTTTCTCAGATTATTCTACAACCACTTTGCTTCTTAATCACTGATTTGTCAACAAACGAATCCTCCAAATCATTTGTCAATAACATTCCAAAATATGTGTTCCACTCTCATTTTCCATAATGTATATAGTACATGATGCTCACCCCAAATTTGGTCACGTTTGATGAACATAACTGTGACATATAATTATCTAACCACACTGCCGTGTCAAGAGAATTTGGAATCATTAATATTGAGACAAATGTAAAAGGGATTAAATATCACTAATCGTTCTTAGTACGTGCATTTTTGTTTACCATTAAATAAATTAGCAATATGGAGACAATAAAGTGGACTTAGACTCTTGTAGTTGTTGGTTTGTGGTCCAAACCGTGGATCTACTTAGGCACTTTGGACGTTTGAGGTGTTCTTGCTAGGTGGATTGACAAATGATATGATGAAAAAATATTCATGTTAGCTCACAAGTAGTTCAGTACTAGTACGTCCCAATCACAAAGCTTACCAACAAAGCTAGTCCAAGGCAAGGGGATTGATTCTAGTCTCTTTGACAGAATTTAAGCTGCAATTTTTCTTAATTTCTATGTAATAAGTGACAGTATAATATTGATCTATTAAATTTATTAAGGTTCGTCTTATATATTCCAAAACCAACGGGTTCCATAATTCTGTTGCTGTGTTGTAAGATATTATTCAGCATATTTATATGTAGGAAACACATGCTCAGCAGTTTTGGTACCTATGCAGGAGGAAACTTGAACCATAAAAAATATTTATTATGTAACAAAACATTTATGAGAAATATAACATCTTTAAAAGGGAGTTTATAGTGAGAAGAATCTTCATACAAAATTAGGGACTTTATCGTGTCTAGGCATACATGCCATTGTAGAATAATAGAAGTTTTTATTTTTCACAACTAAAGAAATTACTTTGGTGGTTAAAGTGAACATGTGATAAATGATGAGAGTAAGTTAAACTTCAATCATTTTCATAATATTTTTAGAATTTCTTTCTAAATTTTCCAATTTCTTCCAAGAAAAGGATAAGCTTGCAGTATATCTTTGAATAGTTAAAAGAATAGCTTAGAATTAAAAAAAATGTTTAACTGATGTGGTATTAAAGTGTAGAGAAGAGGGGCGGGTAGTAAAGGCAGAAATTATGAGTTTCATTAAAGGTTTTACTGTTTGCCTTTTCTCTGAAATATATATATATATATATATATATATATATATATATATATATATATATAAAGTTAAGACTAGCAGATTAAGAGCGAATGATGAAGATGAACTTAGGTTTTGCTTACTGCAATTATTTAATCAAAATGATCAAGCAGGGCCTCATTATAGACTTCTGACATCTTGGATCATACTCATGCCAAAACTTAAAAAAAAAAAAAAAAAAAATAACGCCAGAATGATGTAAATGTGCAATATACAGATAGAAGAAAATGGGAGGTAATTTGAAACAGAAGGGTTGGAACACAGCACAAATAAATGAGATATGCCTCAATCGAAAGTACTCCCTCTTTCTCAGAACAGGTAAAGCAGGGAAATTGTAGTCTGTGTTGTTATATAATGTAATATATTTATTAGTTTATGAGTACAAGCATGTGACAATAGGAAATACTTCAGATGTGAATGCATGCCTAAAAGAGAATATAATGTGCAGGGTAAGGACCTTTACCTACTTTTTAGTATTATTGAACAGTATATCTGATTATATGTATATTAATTGGGACATGAGAAATACATTAATTAAGCTGCCCAAGAAAAGATACGTCACGCCATGTGCTTCACTTATATAAATTTGAGCCTAGTTTGTTTTAATTTTAAGTGGGTCAAGCTAGTTAAGGGTCTGCAAAAATATATTCAAGTCCTTCGGACATATAATCAGTGGATTGTGATTAGTTGCTTCAGGTTTATATTACATTTAAACCACAAAAAGGCTTAATCATTTCTAGGGGGAAAAAGAAATAAAATAAAAGTGCCTATAGATGCAATTCCTCTATATAGAGAGCTATTTTTAACAATACTTTCTCCTTGTCCAAGAGAAATTTTAGCTAGCTCCTAGCTAAGCTAATCAGAGATAGGATAAAGAGGGAATTAGATGTTGCTTTAGACATATATTGATGCTACCCTCATGTCTAACCGTAGTCGCTACATTAGATTTGAGTTTTAAAACAAGATTATTGACCCCTCGTGTGATAGTAAAGATATTGTTATATATTCCAAAGTGTTGTTTCTGAATATAAAGTGGGGAGGGGTATCAAGTAAAGTTGAGAATAGAAGGTTAAAGGCTATACGGAGAGATCAATTGAGCATGGATCACTTTCACTAAGGAAGACGCGTGGGGTGTGAAAAGGACGGAATAAAGTGAAGTTTTAGACGTGAGCTTGATGGCCTAGCTTTAATATCAGATACTGAAAAATCCCGTGTGCTTCAAGAAATGCTCAAGAGATGCCAAGGACAGAGAGAAAAGAAAAGGGTCACAAAAAGAAACAAGTAGCTATAGCAATTTGCAAGCTAATTATACACACCACACATAGCTTTCGGTAATTCATTAGTATTTCCATATATAAATAAATAAACATCTTAGAGTTGCTTTTTTTATTGGCCTACAACTATTCACGGTAGAGGTAGAATAGAATAGAATCTGTTTACTCAATGCCATGCCCACTTGTCTTTTTTATGCTAAAATAAATAACAGCTTCAAATGGAGGCCACTGGTCCACACAATAGAACATTGAGTAAAATATGTATGGTATTGGAAAGATTGCAACGGCACTGCTTTAGTTTAATGACTTCTGTCATCCCAGGTTACATTGTGTTTGGTCTACTTCAATCTTCACTGTCTTTTACTGTTTTCCTGTCTTTCACTCGCAGTCAAATCCAATCCTTGTCGCAGGTAATTTGGTCAAAAGCAAATTACATTAAAGTTTTGTTTGGACAGCACAGTGAACATCCACAATTCAATAGCGACTACAACTAATGGGAGCTCTCGACTTTTATCTTAGACAGTGGACAATGACATAAAGCAGCCACTAATTCAATGTGCAATTGGTTTTCACGAGATATTGTTAACTGTCATCATCGGTATCAAACCATCAACTTACTATGGCCCAAAATGAGGTGGAAAAAAAATTAATTTCCCACTTATTTGGTAATCCAACTTTGTAATTCCAAAGGCCTAGTAAATGATCTAATGATTTCAATTTTCTATAATTCTATGATAGAAAGATAGCATAAACTAAAATATTAGAAGAAAAAAAAACTACTGCAATTCGCATCCAAATTGTCCTAAACTCAAGCAACTAACTAAATAATATGTTAGTTATAGCTTGAGTTCAGAAGTATAATTACTTGAACAACAATTTAAAAATATTGATGAAAATAAAAAATAATTTTTATAAAATAAGTTCAACTGACCATGTTATAAAACTCATAATAAATGTAGGTTGGGGCTCAGCGGTTGCCGGTTAGCCCTGTGATCTAAGTCTTAAAAATGGCAGATTTACTAGGAAGCTTTTCTTACAGTAACGGATAAGTATTGAGAATACTGGGCCCCTTCACTTGTTTTGATTTTGATTGCAGTGGCACAGAAAATGGTAAGTCATGGAAACCTAATGAATTTGGTTCCGCGGTTCCTGTGCTTTCCTTTTTAGGTGTCACCACAGATACTACTACTACACAATAGGGAATGGATTCTGTGGTAAAATTTTCAACATGACCACGTTATTTGAAAATTTTATATATATTTCTCTCTCCAAAATTGTTAACAAAATTTGATAAGACGTATCAATTTAATGTCCATGAAGAGATAAATAAAATAGTAAATATTCACTTGATCTTTCCATGTGAAAATGAAATTCCGATCTTTCCATGTGAATAAGAGATAAAGGTTTCATGAATAGTCTCATTCTAAACGGATTGTGGCTGCAAAAATTATAATTTCATGTGAAATTCTATTTTACAACAAATAAAAAAATGTCATTTAAAAAATTCATAAAAAGATCTATTGCGCAACGGAAATAAAATATGGGTGCATGTAATAACGATTACAAGTGTGCTTCAAAGCAAAATTTTAGACTGCCTTCAGGAATCCCTCAAATCGATTTCCGTATATGCATAATTACATTAATCCTTTCAAAAATTTAGTTACAAAATTATTTTATAAAAATTTTATGTGTAACATTCTCTCTCCCTCTCTGTGAAAAAAATCTTCTTGTACTAGTGTAAATTTTAAAACTCTTACGTTTAATCTAATTTTTTTATTTAATTTAAATCTAATAGCAAGTAAAATAATAAATTATAATATGTTAAATTTAAATTAAATAAAAAATTCAGATTAAGTATAAAATTTTTTAAACTTACTCTAATATAAAATCATATCCCATATATATATATATATATATATATATATATATATATATGAATAACTACCGCTATATCATATATGAATAGTTAAAATTAAAGATTATAAGCACTAAAAGAATCACGTACTAGTATTCTAATTTTGATCATGTGTGTATATTGAGCTAGTCATAAACTATAGTTGACTCAATTGTAATTTAGTTTATTTTTAAAGAAATCTTTTTTAGAAAAATGATTTGAAAAAATAAAAGACCGTTTCCTTAAAAAAAATTGATGTTACATTCAAAATCAAATTCATCAAATGACTCAATAATTTTAGTTACAGTTAGTCCTTGCAAATCCCAGTAGCAATGATATGTGCAGTTCTGTTTCCTTTGACTATTGCCTTAATTTACCACATCAAAGATAATCGATTCACTTCCGCAAGTTAAATCAGGTTGACAATAATTAATAAATATTTAAATCCGATTAATACTTTAATATATCATGTATCTTTATTTTAAAGAACAAAAAATTTCTGCTGCACTGTAACATTCAATTATCCCATAAATCGATTTTTTGTGCGCAAAACTGTCTGCCTGTTTAAAGCTGACGAGGTTAATATTAGTTAGGATATGCCATCATACACGAATATTTAATGGAAAAAATAAAAATCTCTTTTTTCAAGAAAAATATTATAATTGGTTGGAGAGGCGTGTACATTTATTCGGATCACCAACGAGACTGGGACATTCAAAATCAAATTATCATACTATATTATATTACAATTCAATAATCATTCTTTTCAAGACTCACTTCAAGGAATCTAAATAAATTTTAATTCAACCAGGAGTGAAATGTGATTTTCTTATGCGAAAAATATGGACACCTGATACGACTTTAGAGACATCAAATTACTTATAATTCGATAATGTTAAATATAAATATACATTACCAAATACAAAATTGAAATGTTCGGAAAGATTGCATACCGCAACTTCAACACCACACAACTCAACTAAATACATCGGCAAGTGTTTCCCTCCATATTATAAACAAATTGCACAAACTTCCTCAGCTACATGCATACAGCATTCCATCAGTGCCTTGATCGGTTTCTTATCCTGAAATGTTATTTTCTCAATGATTGAGAAGATGCTGTGGAAAAAATTTCATGGCACAGCAAATGAAAACCAAAACAATTGATTACCCGGGAGAGCGAGAATAAGGTGAGCGAGAACGGGAGCGGGACCGAGAGCGGGAACGAGTGCGAGAAGGGGATCGAGAACGAGAACTAGAATAATATCTTCTGGAACCCCTGCTTCTACTTGGACTTCTACTGCGCCTGTATCTTCTGAAATATTCATATAACCTCAATGTTAGTTAACCAGCGGAAAAGCAAAACATGACTCCATTGTTGAAATAACAATAACTTACTGATAATTATTCATTCCACTAATCATCAAGACAATCTTAAAAGTCTATCAACACCTTCATGGTGATGTGCAACAGTGCAAGTAACACATTATAAATCCGGCGAGTATCCTAAGTCTTAATCAATTACAGAGTATTAGCACTGTGGCTAGCACACTTCAAACAGGATAAACGATAACATAACAGCTGAAAATAACAAGAATAGCACCTGAATCCATGGCTTTGTGTGCAATAAACCAGAGAAAGTGTCTAACACAAATTAACAATGGTAAAAACTGATTTTCCTCTTGGAATTTTGGCAAGACAAATATGGCCAACCCTAACATGAGTCAATTTGGGTTTTAAAGTAGTGTAAGCTGAACCATTTCATTAAATTGAAGGTTACTGTTTTTTATCTTGTGAATCCGTTAACGACACTAAAGCATCTAATTTGTGCAAATTGTGTTCAAAATACCTTGGAGGAGAACGGCTGTAACTCCTACTGCGGCTTCGGCGTCTATATCGACTCAACCGACTAGTTTCAGCAAGCTTTTCCTGCCTTTGCCGTTCCTGTTCCCTTTTCTTGGCTTGTTCTGCAGCAGTATCCTTTTTAACTGCACAGGCAAAAAGTTATAGACATATGTATATATATATATATATATATATATATATATACATATCATGAACTGATACCAAATTCACATAAATACCACTATACCCACCCCTAAAAATAATAATAAAATGAAAATTGAAGATTTCTATTATCAATAATTATAATAAATTATTCAAACAGTCATACTTTGTTTGTTTAGCTGCCTGTTCATGATTCTTTTAAGCCTTTCTTGAGGAGTCTCTTTCTTCTCCCCTTGATGTTTTAAGGGCCCTCCAGAACCACCTGCCTTCAATTTTGCTAATGCCGAAGATGCACTGTGGAGAAGAGAACCGCAACAATTAAAAATATAACAAATGAATAGGTATTCAATCAACTCAGATCAGGGAGTGGAATCCCTTTCTAATAACCAGATAAAATAAGCTGAATGAAATAAAGAATGTCAGGGAATATTTTTATGGTACCCATATGACTGACTGGCAGTTTTAAATGTTGGACAGATATAGAACAAATATCAATACAAAATTTAATGGTCAATAAGCAGAGGATACCACAAAAACCATATATAATAAAAAGCCCGTTCACATATACACTGTTGGGTGATGGCATACCTTACTGATTGCTTCAAGACTTTAGTGCCCTTATCCTTATCAATAGATACACCAGAAGCAGGATCAACGTGCAATGCCTCAAGTATGCAACCAGATGGTGGCCTGCAAGACAGTGGAGGTATAAGATAAAGCAATTGCAATATTTCCATGCAACTCACAGGTAGTTATGCAAAATTCATTTCAGGGAACAATGAGCTTCAAATAGGAAGCCTCCTCCCTCCTCCCTCCTCCCTCCTCCTCTTGGCAGTTACCCCGACAATCCTAGTCCTGATCTATTCTAAATCACAAAAAATTGCCTCAGGCAACAATATGGGAGATATGCTGCGCAGAGAAAAGACTGTCCAATCTATCTTGGCAAGAATTAAAGGTCCAGTGCTCCGACCGGTTTAACGTATCAACTTGAGATGTAGGAGATCGTGGTGGAGAAAATCCTTCAGGCCTGGGTTGATCTGCTTCTCCAGAGCCCCCAAATTCAGTTATGTACTCTATTTTAGGAGTCCTTGGTTTGCTTCGGTGAATATCATCGGAATGACCACTTCGTGAGTAACGCCTAGAGTATGATGGAGAGTAGGATCGCGATCTGGACCTTGACCTGTAAATTAAAAATGCCAAAGAACACCCAATAAAATTTACTTCACAGAAAGTATAAAAAAAAATGAATAGATGTAATGATATCATACAGAGAGAACTAGAAAAACAGTGCTGTACCTTCTAGATCGAGAATAGGCTTCATATGTGGGACTTTGCCTAGATTCCCTGCATGCATATAGTATGTGCATCATTAAGAATGGTATGCAAGATTAATCAGTAATCCCATTTGTTAGTAGAAACAAATTTCATATATTCGCCACTCAATCAGAAGGATGAAAGTATCAATATTTTCTACCGGTAGGGGTCATGATGCAGCACACGAGTTCCAGATATCCTTGTGGCTTCTCTCTCTCTCTCCCTTTCAATCTGAGAAGCCTTCCTTCTTTCCTTACGACTCATCTTCCTCTACAAATTTCATAATATAACATCAAAAAACATCTATTTAGACATCTTTAAATATGAATGACCAAACCATTATTCCATTCTTACTATGAACATTTTCACTTACAATTGCAGGATCACCTTTGATCATCTCTTTTTGCCTCTTTTCTTCCTCTTTAGCTTTCTTATCCATGTAAACAAGCCAACCATACCTTTTAACCCCATATTCTTTTGCAATTATTTCCATTCCTTCATCATTGCTATCATCACTGTTAAAATCCTCGTCATCCTCATCATCTTCATCTTCCTCATTATCATTATCATCATCATCTGAAATTTGGGATTCTTCTTTTCCATTCCCATCATAAGAAAACCCAACCTGCGAGTAAGATCCTTTGCTAGCAGCAGTCTGTGTCAAATTCGATCTACAAATGCACATTAAAATAAACAATATTAGATCATCTATCATCTACCATGAAGAATACTAACAGCACGTCATATAAAGTCGCAAATATAAGTTATTACTACTAATTACTAAGAATTCAGTTTTAAAATAACATGGATCATAAGCTATTTCATGAACAGTATTTTAGAACTAATCTTCCAACAACCAACTACAAAACGACATAGATAACATATCCACGGTAGAAACTACAAACAATTTTCAGGAAACAATGCTCCATAGTATAATCAGAATTTTCATGGAAACAAATTATTGTTAGCAGATGTTTCTGGTCCATCTGATTCTAAGGATTAAGAACTTAGAAATCAACTCAAACTTATTCTTCCATTAGCAAACCATGTATATGCACATATACTGATAAATTAATGCTACTTTTAGATATGACATCAAATGACTAAATGACTAGTTAACTAGGAAAGAAAGGAATCTCGTTGAACCTGTCAGATACAAATGGAGCAGCAGCCTTGGCCTCCATCTCTTGGTTTACATGTTGCAAAGCCTCCTCGTCAGTAACTGTTAAAATTTCAAAAACAAAAAACCTAGTTTGTAAATTCAACTTCAAAACTAAACCATAGATATCAGATTAGCTTCCAAACAATAGAACCTTTAGTCTCGCATTGCCTCATCAAGAATAAACAACGTTAAAGGAATAGAAAAAATACATAAAACAACAGTAATCACACTACAAAAGGTTATGGGAATCAAACACGTCGCCACGAAATAAAAAAGTACCGACATCCTCTACGCCGATGCTTTATTAAATCCCGATATCGCTCAAAATTAACAAACTCTTCTAACTCTTCTTCTTCTTCAGATTTCTCCTGAACGCGTCTAAAACTGGAATCTCGAATGAAATCAAGGAGAGCACGTCCATCAAATCTGCAAACGCATGGAATTGGCAATCAATTTCACATTATTAATCAAATACATAGAAAAACACACAAGCACAGTAGAAAACTCGCACCTATCAATCAATACATCCTGTTTCCCATTCCAAGGTATCCTGAGACACAAACGAATCAGCAGATCAAGTAAATTCATAGAACATGCAAACAGAATTTCTACGTCTACTTTTTTATATTAAATTGACGAGAAAAGTGAGGAATAAGAGAAACTAACAGGCCTTGTTGATCCTGAGTGGCTTGGTAAAGAGCGTCGTCGCGATAGGTTCGGGAACGAAAGCCAACGAGCTGAATAGATTGCTGAGGATCGCCGCGTCGCTTGGCGAGGTAAACTGCTCGGCGCTGCGCTCTTTTGCGAGCCGCGTCCATCATGTCGTGCACCTTCTTCTCCGACCTCCGCGCTTCGTGCCACATCCTTGTTTCCCTTCAATCACGAGATGCAATTGCAAACCCTAATTCTGATTCCCGAATGAATGGAATCGGTGAATTCCAATGGCAATTTTGCTGCTCTTCTTTGTCACCACCTTCTGGACCCGGACTTGCTTCCCCCTCCTCCTACCTACGGCCCAATCAATCAAATCTGCTTTCCTTGTAGCACCTTTTTTAACGCACAGCCCCCTATTAATACCTTCCATTTAATATGTGTTAGCCTGCATGTTAGGTATACATGCCCTAATCTTTTCTTAATTAATCACTCGGTAAAGATTAATTTAACTTTTAGATTTTAATATTTTGCTTGATTAAATTATAAAATAAAAAAATTCATAATATATTTTGAGCAATATTATAAATGTTCATAAATATTTTTTTTAATTTTCTTATAAGACGTCTTAAGGTTTTAACATTTTTTATTACAGGACACTTTATATTCTTTATGCAGTACTTTTTTATTTATATTTAATATAAAAAAATTGATTAAAATAATCAACTAAAAAATAATGATAAATTTTGATAGTGAAATTATGTTTAATGATAATAAATAAATAAATAATTGTCTTATTATAATATTTTAAAATTTTAATTATTTCAACTATTTTTATGAATTTGTGTATTTTAATTATAAGTATCTTATAAAACAAATTCAAGATAATGAAAATAATTTTTCATGTGCAAAGTTTCATGTTTATTTTTATTATACAATCTATTAGACAAAGTTCAATTTTAATTAAGAAGTCATACTAAAAGAATTTATAATTTTGTTATTTAACTTTTGACTATATATATATATACTAGGAAGGTGACCCATACGATACACAGATAAATTATTATATTATAGTATAATATTATAATCAATAATAAAATAAAAAATAATTGTATAAAATGTTTATGATAATATTTAAATTATTTTAAAATTTAAAATTAATTAGTATATATTAATATTATTACTAATAAAATAATTTCATAAATTATATAAAGATTTATATTATATTTTTAAATATTTGTAAATTAACTCTAAAAATAAAAGGATTAAACTCAAATATAATTTAAATTTATAAATTATAAATTTAATTCTATAAAGTTTAAAAATACTATTATAATTAATTTGAAATAATTTAACATGTATACATACATACTACAACATAAGGATTTTTGATAAAAGAAATTTTTTTAATATATTTAAAATATTTTAAGACAAAAATTATTGAAGAAATAAAATTACATATCTTATTTTATTCTACAAAATTATATAGCACATAATTTAAGGATAAAAAAATTAATTCTTTTATTAAATAAGCCTATTTTATATTTCTGAAATCACTATTATGTATCAAGTATCATAATTTAATTTTTTATTATTGAATCATATATTTATCAATTATATATATATATATATATATATCACATATATATATATATATCACAGAAATTTGTTTATATTATATATTAGTATATATTAATATTATAAACTATAATTTAAATATAAGAAATATATAATAATAAAATTATATTATGTTAAATAATATCATAATTCGATTGAAAAATAAGATAAATAAATTTTCATATGCAAATTTTTATATACTTTATATATTTTAAAATTTCAATTAAGATTTAAATAGAAAGTAAAAGAGAAGAATAATTTTATTAAAAACAAAAATGAATATTTATATCAATTAAAATTACATATGTCGATATAATATAAAATTTATAAGTCACATAAAATATAGACAAAAATATTATGATAAGAACAACTTTATAATAATATTTAATTAGCATATGTTAATATTATCATTCATAAAAATATTAGTTATTTAAAAGAAAGAAATATAGTATATAACTTTATAAAGTATTTTTCTTTCATATTGACATTAATTAAAAAAGAAAGTTATAATTTTTATAATAAATCTAATTTAATTTTTGAAAGATTTTCTTATACACCATATTTGTAATAGTTTTTATATTTTTCATATAATATTTAAATTTGAAATAAAGAAATAGAATATTTAAATTAATTTTAAATATTCTCTTGTAATGTATCAATGTTATACAGATAATCAAGCATTTTCTAATTAATTTTATATGAGCTGATTTAGTTACCTAATAAATATAATAATATTAAAAGTTAAAGTAATAATAAAATTTATTTATTTAATCAACTATTCCTCATTAATCAGATGCCAATTAGCAGTTTCCAATAATAAAATTTAAAGTAAACTATTAATATAAAAATTCAAAACTATCGTAAGCTTTGTAAGAATAAATGCATTAATATGTTAATATTAAAGTTACAAATACTAAATTAATATTAATTCTTATTATTCTATTGTTGTATGACCTTTCAAATATATAAATTAATTAATTATAATTTATTCATTCTACTATTTTTCATGAATGATTCTATATGTTAATATTAAGGTTAAAAAGAACATACAAATATGTTAATATATATACATACTAAATAAAATATAATTTTTTATCTTTATTAAATATTTTACGTCCATATAGCTCTCATTTGATTATTTATAACACATTCAAATGTTACATTTATCTTTAGAATATATATATATATACTCATCAATTTTTATTCATTCATTCTATTATTTTTTATTAATCATATATAAATTATCAATTTTCAAGAATAAAATTTAAAGTGAATTATTTATATTAAAATTTAAAATTTCATTTAAATGCTAATTAAAAAAGAGGTGCTGATGTACCTCTCGAATATATCAAAATTGCTAATTAATTAGAATAAATGCATTTAAGTTATTTAAATTAAATAATTCAAAATAGCTTTAAACTTTGCAAGGATAAATGTATTAATATATTAATACTAAAGTTATAAAAAAATAGGTAAATATGTTAATCGTACTAATATAACCTGACAATATAAATAATGAAGGACTTAAATCAAAGTGTGCTAAGAATTTCTCCAAAAGAACTTAAAAGTTAAATTTATATATTTAAAATCTTGTCCACTCAAGTAACATTGGTAGAGAATACCATGGTTCAGATATATTAAAATATCAGCAAATAGCTTTATAACTAAACATAAAAGAAAAAAGTCACATATAAATAAAAAGGAAATTAAACATTTAACTTCTTAATGATGACCTTCTTTAAAGGCTTTGTCCTTAAACCTTGTATTTGTTACTCCTCAACAACTGATGAACTCATTTCATTCTCATTCATTACCATCTTCCAGGGTTGTTTGACACTCGGAGCTACTTTAATAGAAACTATTTGGAAATCTTAACACAATTTAAATTATAATCAACATTTAAACCAATATTTTTTAAAATATTATTACTCATTTGAAGTCAATTCATTTACTACATTGTAATATCAATTATTTGCTCATCTTCAACCATTACTCATAGTTAAGCCAGCACCTTCATTCAAAATGTTCATGCATCAAACATAATACAATTTTTTTTTTTAGATATTTAACAATAAATAAATTTGTCAAATGAAATTTCATTTCAATTTGAAGACGATTAAATTTATTCAAGATAAATTATAACCTTCAAACTGTCAGCATTTTGAGTTGACAAAGTGTCCTCCGAATCTCCTTCTACTTCATCATCGTTTCACTAATATGCAAGATTTAATTATTTTATTTTGAAATCAAAATTTGACACATTTATTTCAATCATTAATAATTTTAAAAATATACCTTAATACCACGCAATAACTTAAACTGGTTAATTAGATCAACACTATCAGCAAGTCTCTTAACATTGTATAAAACCCAATTAGCATCTAAATTTGCTTGAGTAATTTTAACTTTGAATAGAAAGAACTTGAATAATATTGCATCAATCTAAAGAAAAAATCCATTACTCACATTTGGCTACAAGAGTATAAAACAATTTTAAAAATATTATAAATTAAAACAAATATAAAAGATTAAATGAAATCAATATCAACACAATCAACTTCAGTCATCTCCGTTTTCAATTGTTTTGCAGACTTTCCAATGAACTGTAATAAGAGATTTTCAAATATTATAAAAGAAGCAGAATCCATAACATTAACATGTAACTTAAACCTAGAAGAAAAAAAATTGGTCATAAGTCCACTAAAAATTTAACTAAATTAGTTTTAAATTAAATATATAGTTTATAAGTAGTAATGTTTATACTTGAGAGTATGAATGATATATCTCTGATAATTTTCACAAAAAAACTTATGTCCATTTTCTTTTAGCTTCTTAAAACACTTGAGTCATATTGTCATCCCTTCTCATATTCAATTTCAAAAACTTGGACAAGAACAACAACAAACTCAACCTTTTCAAAGAGAAACTTCAAATTATGACTTTTATATATTTTAAAAATAATATATGCATTTCACTTCATTATTTTAATACAAAACATACATAATTTGTTCAATTATTTCATGTATGGTCATGTTTTGAGCTTGGAGCAAATTATCTTCCATTGAAACAAGAGAGTACCCAGACATCTGACTTAATAATTGACTTATACTTACATAATTCATATTCATCCTATACCACAAATTGGATAGCTTATAAGTTAACAAAAACAGGAAACATCATGCAAAACATAATGATGTCTTCATAAATAAAAAATGATTAAAATACTTACTTATTCTTGTAATTAATAGCCTCTTTTATGTTGTGATTGATATACAACTTTGTTCCATTATAAGCATTTGATATGCCTAAAGTTCTTAAAACAATCATGAAATATAATTTGTTGATAACTTATACTTGCATCATTCGTATTCATCCTATACCATAAATTTGATAGCTTATAAGTTAACAAAAAAAGAAAACATCATGCAAAACATAATGATGTCTCCATAAATAAAAAATAATTAAAATACTTACTTATTCTTGTAATAAATAGTCTCTTTTATGTTGGGATTGATACAACTTTATTCCATTATAAGCATTTGATATGCTTAAAGTTTCTGAAACAATCATGAAATATAATTTGTTGATAATAATAATTATCACGCAAATATAAAGAGTTCAATATAGATAAAGAATCATACAACCAAAATATTTTTATTTTACATAATTGAATAATTACAATAGGTAAAGCATTAAAATTTTCATTCTTTAAAAAATCAACCATTTTATGCACTTCGACTAAAGAAATATAAAAGCTTCACCTTTTCATCGACTAAAATCATGTCCATGCGATTGACTT